CAGTTTTATTGTGTTATTGTTGTGTGTTCTTTCTCTTCCAGTGCTTCGTTTGGAGTCAGAAGGAAGGTATTATAAACTAGGGATGCCAGTGATTATTCGATTATTCGAATATTCGTTACAGTCTCCATAATCGAATATTATTTTTAAAAATCGATTTTATTTATATATGTTTTTATTATTATTTATGTTTTTTGTTTTTTTCTGGCTTAGTTTCAACCAAAATATAGACTAATGCTAATAATAGTAATAGTATTAATAATTGTAAATGGCCATTGGTCACACCACCAGTTTGTTTTACTGTAAACTTGGAGGAAGCCTGCGTGCAGAGCAGACTGCTGCTGCAGCACGCTACACACCGACCCCGCCCCCACCCCCCCCCCCTCTCCCTCACACGTGCGACTAAAGATGAACAAAGCGGCAGGTAAAAATAGTTCCTCCTCGTGGAACTACTTCGAACTTACAAGTCCAAAGGAAGTTAAATGCAAGCTCTGCGAAAAGCAGTAGGGCCTGGCTCATTTCGTGGCATCTGCCGGCAGTGGCAAGTACTTCCGGCATCTGCCACAGAGGCCAGGCCACTACTCCGTGGCATCTGTGGCAAGTACTTCCGGCATATGCCACAGATGCCACTACTCTGTGGCATCTGTGGCAAGTCTACTTCCGGCATATGCCACAACTTGCCGAGGCATCTGCCGCTGCTCAACGGGAGTTGCCACAAGATGCCAGAGTAAGAGAAGGTTTACTGTAGCTGCCACTCGCCTTCCGTGGCAAATGCAGCTATTTAAACCTGTATTTATCATGTAACATGTCGCTGTTTAGGCATGACTTTATCGAACTGATCTGTACACAGGACTGATGTGCGATCTCTATTTTTCAAAAAAGATTATACATTATCATTTCTATTCAATTTTACTTGGAGCATGGTTTGCTAAAATAAACAAACGTGCTATATTTATGATGAAATATTGGCGAGTGAGGGTTGCAACGCCCTTGGCAATTGTCGCTTCTTGAGGGGAGTTTCCACTGCTTGCTACGATAAACCAGGTGTATGACTAGTAAAGACAAATAATTAACAAATACATATCTGTATTGACACAGCAACGTGTACACTGGTGTTATTAGACTTGGCTACAGACTTAGGGCAGCTGTAACTGATTGCAGTTGCCACTGCTAGTGAGATGCTAAGGTTTACTTTATAAATTAGGCAAAGGACAGTTATATATTTGCCTTCACCAGCAGCATTTTATCCCGTTATGAAATGTCATCATTTCGACAAACTACATAAACGTTATCTTGCACGTTTTATCGAACCATCTCCATTTCTAACTTTAATATATTTAAAAAGAGATCTCTCTCATCTGCGTGCGGGGGCGGGGCCTCACAGACATGCTGTGCACACAGTTCTGCCGGTAATGAATATTAGGATATATTTTGTGAGGAAACTTTTCCACCAATAATTCCAATAAGTATTCCAAAATGTATTCACTTCAGGTTTACGAAAGTAACTGTATTCGGATGAGTTGTTTTTCAAATGTAACGCGAGCTGAATACAGTTAGGCTACTTGATTTTTGTATTCTGATTACGTAACGCCGACATGTATTCCGTTACAACCCAACCATGTGTACAGATCATCAGTCCTGTGTACAGATCAGTTCGATAAAGTCATGCCTAAACAGCGACATTTTACACGATAAATACGGGTTTAAATAGCAGCATTTGGGTCGGTCGAATAATCGATTATTATTTGCCAGGGCTGCCGAATAATCGATTTTGATCATGGTCAGTTTCTGGCAACCCTATTATAAACCAGCACGTTTTTGCTTAATTTGTGTTCTTTAAAATGTGTTGTTTGTTGTTCTTTTGTGTGCTCCTTTTAATGGCAATAGGGACCCATATAATATATGATGGCGGCGGTGATATTACAGGGTTGCCAACTCTCACGCATCTGGCGTGTGACACACGCTTTCACTCTCAATCTCACGCTCTCCAAACTATTCTCAAGCCAAAAAAAAGAATACCGAAGACTAGAAACGGTTTTGAAAACTTTTGTCAGGTAGTGATCGTCTTCTCAATAGAACATCTTTGATAATGTCTTCTGGCCAACAGGAAGTCCCGACGGAGAATACTTTTGCATTTGCTGTTGTAGCCTACATCTCTATATACATCGATACAACATTACGTGTTGATAGAAATCAACACGTAATGAAATAAGACCCCACGGTTTGATGATTGATAGGTGCAGGGACGTGCACAGGTACGGGCTAATGTTGCCAGGGCAACGGCCCGTTTGGCCTTTTTGGCTGACCTGCCCCTCTGGAGAGAGCGAGAATTAATTTTTTAATTTTTTCTGTTGTGGCCGAATCAACATGATAAGCCCACAATAGGCTACATGCACTAGGGTCTGAGACGTACTTCCGCCTTAGCCGTTATACTGCTCGGACGCTTCCGGGTTGCTTCTGGTCTGCGTAGCTGAGCGTCCACAAATGTTTTACTGTTTAAATCTGTGGTTTAAATATGAGTCGACGGAAGATTTTCAAAACGGAGCATTTGCAAAGACAAGTAAACAACTACTCCGAGCACTGCTGTGTCCCACTTTGTACGGCGTCAGCTAAATTCAACGGCGTCCTAAGTTTCCATGGCTTTCCGACCGAACTCGAGCTGCGAAGACAGTGGCTGGTTAAAATACGACGCGATAACTTTACAATCTCCTCTCACTCCAAGGTCTGCAGTCGTCACTTCGCTACGGATCAACTAATAGAGCCAAAAACCCTTGATGGCCGTAGGAGGCTTGTGAAAGGTGCTGTCCCAACTCTGTTTGAGTGGAATCACTTCACTGCTCAAACACCGCGGGCTAGTGTTTGGGAGAGAAGGGAGCGGCCCACTGAACCAGTCTCTCGGGAGGAGCAGGAAGAGCACATCGATGTCCGTGACCATGATTACTGCTCAACCCCTGAACCAGCTTCACTGGACATGTCCTCTCAAGCTACAGAAGACAACTCCAAAACATTGGAGGATCTGCAGAAGCAACTGCAGGAGTTAAGAGTCCAGCGAGAGTTTTGCTTACAGCGGTTTGCTGGCTCCGACGACAACATCCGATTCTATACCAGGTAATGTTTTGGCTAAATTCTATCCAAGTTTTTGAGATGGGTTAGCTTATAAAGAATCCTGTTTACCTGCCGTTTAACTGCTGACTATTTGCATGCAGTGTTGGAATAAGTAGGCTACTCAACTTAACTGAAGTATAAGTACAAATACTATGGTTTGAAAATACTCCTGAACTGAACATGTAGAATCATAAATCATGTGTTTTCATAAGTAACTAGAAACTATGAAGGTTAACTAAATGTGGTGGAGTAAAACATAGTAATACTAACAACATACTGATAATACTTTACTACAAGTGGAAATCTTCAAAACCTTACCAAAGTAAAAGTACATGTCAATATCCACTGCGTTTCTCCCAGTTGCACACTTAAGAATGAAGAGTAAAAGTAGTCATTCTGTGTAAAATGTTCCCTGTATGTTTTAGATTATTATTACTGCTGCTTTAATGTAGTTGTTACATGTTACTGCTGTATATTACTATACCTGCACCAAGTGCCTTCTTAATCAGTCTATTTGAATTGTAATGTATTATAGCAAACAAGAGGAAAGCATTAGCCCATGTGTTACAGTTAACGAGTCAATTAATGACTGACATGTGTCTTTTGTGTACAGATTCCCGAGCTATAACCACCTGATGGCCTTTTGGTTTTTGATTGAGCCTTCCATTTATAAAATGGTTCGTGTTACAAGAGCGATATCAGCTGCCAAGAGGAATGAAGAAGTGGTTACACACGCACGTCCATCAACGGTAGGCTACGTTTCTTTTAACACACAATCTAAACACAAACTGAAGGGAAAATGTTTCTCCAACATTTCATTGCTTTCGTGTAGGCTAAAAGGCTATAGTACTCAATCCTTTTTGAATACATCAGAGAACTAAAACAACTTAATGTTTTTCCCATGGTGTGCTACACTCATGACATTAATATAGTACCCTTTTTTTGTTTATCTTCCAGAGACAGCTGCTTCAGCCAATTGACAAGTTCTTCCTTTTTCTCTGCTTCCTGTCGGTGGGTTTGAAAGAGAGGGACCTTGCAAACCGCTTCAACGTACACCAGTCCACTGTGAGCCGCATCATTGCAACATGGACGAGTTTTCTTACAACTTTATTGGGGTCACAGTGCATCTGGCTTACACCTGCAGAAGTTCAAGCCTACCTCCCAGAGGCATTCAAAGATTTCCCAGACACACAGGTGATCCTGGATTGCACAGAGCTGAGGTGTCAAACACCATCCTCACTCCTCCTCCAAAGTGAAATGTATTCTACATACAAATCTCACTGCACCATGAAAGCCCTGGTTGGCATAGCCCCACATGGCGCAGTGACATTTGTTTCCAGTCTGTATGATGGTTCTGTCAGCGACAAGGAGATTTTCAAACAATCTGGAATAGCTGCGTTGTTGACTGAAAACATGGCAGTGATGGTAGATAAGGGCTTCCTGATCAGCGATTGCTGCAAATGCAAGGTGTACTGCCCACCTTTTCTGTCAAAGCAGAAGCAAATGCCAGCCTATCAGGTGAGGGAGACACAGGCCATTGCCAGACTGAGGGTTCATGTGGAGCGTGTCATTAGGAGGATAAAAGAGAACAAACTTTTTGATGGTGTCATCCTCCTGTCCCATGCCTACAACATCAACCAACTGTTTGCAGTAGCATGTATGCTGTCAAACTATCAGAACAAAGCACTGGTCAAGAAATGGGTGAAATAAGACAAGATGATGACACCTGTGCAGGTAGCTGTGATTAAGCTGGGTGAGCACACCGTAATCCCGTGTTGCCTGACACACGCTAGTGTTTTGTTTGAATAAATGGTAAATAGCAAATTACAATGCGTTGATGATTTCTTACAAATGCAATGATTTACTATTCATTACACAAATCACTTCACTTTATTGTCTTTTTAAATACAATTGTATATTTATTTACATATATGAAATGTGACAAACAATATATATCAAAAACAAAATATTGAAATCACATTTTGTTGTCATTCAGAACACATGATTGAGGGATTGCCTCCTAAAAACAATGATGGCTGATCCAGGGTCTAGCAGCTAACTGCTTACAGAGTTAACAATGGCTACAGTGCCCACTACTTTTTTAATGACAGGTACTTCGGCATGTATGTGTAAAAAAAAAAGTCTACTTTTTCTCTGATTGCTCTTTGCACTTCTGGATCTGTGTATATTCTTTGCACCAGGTAGTCCTCTTGTGCCCACACTACAAAATCACACCACTGCATCCCAGATACAAGAAGTTGACTCTGTACTTGCCAGTAATAGGCATGGCTTTTCTTGAGCTTAGGGGAGCCACATTCTATCTGCACATATTTGCAGTCGACATAATTTGGGACATTGGGACATTTGAATTCAACAAGGCCAAATTGGGGATATTCTGTTGGTCAAAAACAACTCCATCAGGGGAGGCACCAAGCCAGGGCGTAGAGGGGTGAATGACAAGGCCACAAGGGGAGTAGTTCACGTTCGCCAGTCTACTGTATTCAGCTGCTACTGTGGGCTCCATCTCGGCACCTCTCCTCATTTCTGCAGTCTGCCTTGTACCTTTGAGTATTCGCTCTGCAAGAGAGTTAGCAGAGCTCTCACCTCTGACGTGACAAATCTCTCTAAACCTAGAGGCAGTAACGCTGGGTTTGCGGAGCAGATGCCACTCTGAGCTAGAGCTTTGCTCACGGGTAGCCTCCTCAATTTTGTGAGACATTTCCAAATCAACAGATAAGCTGTTCATATGTAGTTGCTCCTCTTCTGAGCACACCAGCGGTAAATCACATGGCAAGATCACATACCCCTCTATGGGCAAGTGGGGTGTTGGTGGTGTGTCAGTGTGAAGTGTGGTGTACCGAGACGTCAAAGCAGGCATCTGATAGGACAGAACACTGCCCTCCTGCACAATCCCGAAGGCACTTTCCACAAGGGGCTTGTCAGGTCTCATGTTCATTGTGGTCACAAGCGGCCTGTCTTCAATGCTGAATGCTGAGTATGCCTCCGTAACTCTGAACAGGCAGGGATCTGGTAATGGCCCCACCATGCCTCTGTAGAATCCACTCCTACAAAGAATGGCAAAGACAATATAGCACATTAATGTGACAATAAAGGTTAGGAATACAGCACCAGAATTATGAATTTTAAAAATACAGGAAACACAATTTTCCAGCTAAAATTACCTTACTCCAGTCTGCACCATCCTATTTGGTACAGGCTTGGTGAAGACCATGGAGTTGATGGGCCCTGGCTTCACACCCTTAAGGAAAAGACAATTACTGTTCGTTGAGTCACTTTAAAACAAAAACTCTGTGAAAGATTACAAGTATTTGAACCTCATTGAAATTACCATTGTTCGCGGCTTGTGCCATTGCTGTTCCGATTCAGTACAGCTATGCACAGGTGGCACAACTGGCATGTTCAGTTCATTGTAGTGTGCTGTTTGGAACAGCAATGCTACTGTGTGATTGCACAAAACAGTTCCTGCAACACAGGAGCACTGGTTGTGCGTGAGCACCACTGGTGATGAATCACGAAGCGTTATCTAAAAAAGAGAGAAGAAATACTAGTGATTAGTAACCTCACTTGTTACTATGAGCCAGGAGGTTATTATGAGTAGAATTATTGGTTATTTTTACTGACACATTATCCTAGAAGAAGCATGTATTCCTGAATGCTTAGTGTTACCCTCTTACCCTACAATACCACAATGAACTTTCTTTGGAAACTAAGATATTGAAAATTGTATTAAAGCAGTTTTGACTATATATTTTAACCCCCAAACTTACACATCCATAATCAATGTAATAATATCTGACCAATCAGCTGTGATAAAGCAGGGAGAAGTAGGACACTGTTGAGATTCCCTTAAGGTAAACTAATGTTTAACTGAACTGAAACTCAATAAACAGGGGGGAACAGTGTCAATGCTGCCTGCCTACACTCAAACTGTGTGCTGTCTCGCTCTTCCGCATTGACCTGTAGCACAAGGCTCTCACGCTGACCTGCCCTGTCAGCCTGTCTTTATTGGACACTGAATGAAGAAAAACAGAGCAACAGCGTTAGATCTATACTCACGTCAAAACATCTATGGCAACATTGCTTTACAAAAGCTGATACCATTATGCAGTGTGGCTAACAACAAGACAACCTTGGCTAGGCTATAAGGCTATTAAACGATAGTATTTGTTAGCAAAATGGCTAATGTTTTAAATAATTAACACCAGAAACAGTACATAGCGTTACCCAGAGCCCTATAGTAGTCTACTATAGTAGTAGTATAATAATAATAATAATAATAATAATAGTAGTTATACTATAGGGCTCTGGCGTTACCTAGCTTTTGACAGCTAATGTTAGCGTAACCCGGAGCATAAGCTAGCTGGTTAGTACCGGTTACCTTCTTACCTTCATAGTTGTGTATATATGACGCAGCATATAATTTGAAGCCTTTATCGAGTTTGCTGGCTGGGGCTTTAGTCGTCCGGCAAATCCGATGAACATCTGACATTTTTAATTTCGGAAGCTCTTGTAGGCAGCGGGTGTAGAAGGTCGTCATTTTCAAACAGGAAATGAATCGGCCGCTATGAGTAGAATGCGGAAGTGACTGTGCATGTAGCCTATTAGTAGCGTCTCGCTGCGGGAAACACACTTTGTCAGCGCTGTCATCTGCCGGTGCGTTAAGACCACCTCAGTGTCGGATTTTGGAAACTTGATTTTGAGTTGTCTCATCATGGCAGTTAGGGTATAAGGGACAAACCAGGGGACTTTACTTCCTCTTGATACCGTTGGTTATTTACAAAAAAACACCTAAATATAGCCTACTTGTTGTGATTGTGTGTCTTTTCATCTGTAAACTCCGTCAACGGGGCCGCTCGCTCTCTTTTCTTTATCGCCCTCTCATGGGTGAATACTTCACTGTCCCGCTTCATTGTAGAATTTCTGCCATGTCTATACCACTTTAGTTTGACCATCTCTGTTATTAAGTTACGGAATACTAAATAGCCTAAATAAGTAATTAGATACCTTACCGTTGGCTGCGCTCATTATGATAAGAATAAGAATAATGCGTATTGAACTGGTTTAATTAATTAAATAGTGAGTTTATTTAAGGTAGCCTAGTTAGAAGCAGGGGTTAAGTTGGGATTTGATATGTGGGGGGGGGGGGGGGGGCTCTGTGTGGAGGTGCGAGAGGGGGGGGAGGACGGAGGTCGAGGATCTCATTATTTGACCTTAAGGGATATTGGCCTACACTGTGGCCCTAAAGCAACTGCTCCATTATCTGTATCAAATGCAGACATTGATGCCACCAAATGTCACAATAAAAATAGAAAGTACTACAAATAAACTGGAATTCATTTACATCTTAAATTATGAATATAGGCTATATACACAAAAAAAGGTTTACAAATATCCAACCTTCAAATTGCTTTTTTAAATCAACACTGCTCTGCACACTTGCTAAAGAATATTTGTGTGGAAATCTCAATTCATTTGTAGGGCTGCGTGAGTATGGCCAAAAGTATGGGAGTAAATCTCACTGTAAACTATTTAATCATCACCAAATTCCGTGTTATTATGACCGATCATAACTCAGCTTTATGCAGACATATTTAGCATGGTGTACAGGCCCGCTTCTTGGCATAGGCGACATAGGCGGTCGCCTAGGGCGCCAGATCTGGGGGGGGGGGGGGGGGCGCTGCGCTGGCAGCTCTGGGAGGGAAAAAAAACATTTTGACTGTTTGCGCTCATCCTAATTTTCGACCTTGATGTAACAACATTCATAATTAAGTCAAGGTAACACCCTTTTCATCCCGGTTACACTTTTCATTTGCCCTGTACGATGGGCGCTGTAAGTGATGAAAGTGGGGGGTGTTGGCTTATCAGGCGTCCGCAGCTCACAGCCAAAGTGGGTGTGGGATCGAGCGAGAGAGATAAATGCAATTTATGTAAACAAATATTTCCAAGGCACTCTTTTATAATTATTGGGGTAAACAGGTTTGAAATCATTTCAATGTATACTATAGGACAGAAAACCAAAAATATCATTTAAAACTTGAGAGATACAAAAATATGCATAAATAAACGTTAACTAGGTAAAATAAGATATGAATGAACAACAAAAATAAAATAAGTTGCATTTATTTGCTATTGGCTATGGTAGGTTATTGGTTATGTTCACATACTTATTTGATTATTAAAATGTAAACCAATCTTTTTCATATGGGTGTTTAGAGTTGTACCCCCTAGGTCAGGTCTCTAGTAATGTGTGCTCAAAGCGCACCCGATTGAAGCATTTTACTTTAAATGTTCAAACATTTCTTCCCGGGGGGGCATACCCCCGGTCCCCCCTAGAGGATGTGATGTCCACACCCCAATTCAAACATGTTCATACAATACCGAATACATTTGAAGCCTTTTTGATGTATATTACCAACATGTCAATACGTTTCTGTTTTTGTAGTATATTGGTCTTTTGTAGAGATTTTTCATTTATTCTTTATATATTCTATTGTGTATTCCTTGGGTACTTTTATCTTTTCTATTGTACGATTGAAGTAAATGTGGGAAGCGTTTAACAACAGCCATTTACTTCAAAGATTGTTCTCAATGTTATTCTTATTTTTGTTAATCCTGGAAGAATACCAGAAAAAAAGACATTCTCAAGAATAAAAAAAAACATGACATTAGTAATTGTGAAAACAAATTAAATAAGTTGTTAGGTTAAGTCAGGGCCGTTTTTTGGCATAGGCGACATAGGTGGTCGCCTAGGGCGCCAGATCTGGGGGGGGGGGGCGCTGCGCTGGCAGCTCTGGGAGGGAAAAATACATTTTGACTGTTTGCGCTCATCCTAATTTTCGGCCTTGATGTAACAGCATTCATAATTAAGTCAAGGTAACACCCTTTTCATCCCGGTTACACTTTTCATTTGCCCTGTACGATGGGCGCTGTAAGTGATGAAAGTGGGGGGTGTTGGCTTATCAGGCGTCCGCAGCTCACAGCCAAAGTGGGTGTGGGATCGAGCGAGAGAGATAAATGCAATTTATGTAAACAAATATTTCCAAGGCACTCTTTTATAATTATTGGGATAAACAGGTTTGAAATCATTTCAATGTATACTATAGGACAGTAAACCAAAAATATCGTTTAAAACTTGAGAGATACAAAAATATGCATAAATAAACGTTAACTAGGTAAAATAAGATATGAATGAACAACAAAAATAAAATAAGTTGCATTTATTTGCTATTGGCTATGGTAGGTTATTGGTTTTGTTCACATACACTTTTTCATATGGGTGTTTTACGGCCCGTCCACACAGCAGCGTGCGTTGAAAGCTTCACCATTCACTTTGAATGGGGTGACGTCACTTTGCTGGCGTGGCTCGCTGCAAAAGTTGAGCAATGTTCAAGTTTTGAAGCCACGGCAGAAGCGTCAGCCAATCGAATCATATGCCAGTACAAGCTCTAGCCAATCAAACCACTGCTTGTATGTCAGGGGCGGGAGATTCATGTGATTGGTTGTTGGTCGAGTTTCAGACACGCCCGTCGGCAAGCTTCAACGCACGCCGCTGTGTGGACGGGCCGTTAGAGTTGTACCCCCTAGATAAGGTCTCTAGTAATGTGTGCTCTAAGTGCACCAGATTGAAGCATTTTACTTTAAATGTTCAAACATTTCTTCCCGGGGGGGCATACCCCCGGGCCCCCCTAGAGGATGTGATGTCCTCACCCCAATTAAAACATGTTCATATAATACTGAATACATTTGAAGCCTTTTTGATGTATATGACCTATGTCAATACGTTTCTGTTTTTGTAGTGCATTGGTCTTTTGTACAGATTTTTCATTTATTTTTTATATATTCTATTGTGTATTCCTTGGATACTTTTATTTGTTCTACTGAACGATTTTCTGGCAGGGGGGGGCGCCAGCTAAAATCTCGCCTAGGGCAGCAAATTGGTTAGAACCGGCCCTGATGGTGTAGGAAACGGGCTCCGTGTTACAAGACGGGTCGGGGGTTTGGCGGTACCACTGCAGACTCTCTGCACACACACACACACCGCTGCAGACTCTCTGCACGAAGGAGCCACGGTGCTGCAGCTCCTGATCGGAGCTGAGACACACGTTCACTAAGCAGAAAAACGATATCCTGTCACAGAGATCTGCTATTTTAAATTTTAAAGTCAACACATATCGACCCTAAATAAAGTCTATATTAAGAACGAGAGATGTTTTGACATTATGGCTTAAACAAATGACAAATGAGCGAGGGCGATGACGTCAGAGCATCGTCCTATGTGCCGGGGCTGAGCCCCGGACAGCCCCGGCCCAATTTAACCCCTGGTTAGAGGCCCTATTTTATCAGTATGTCTGGACTGCACAGCAGTTACAATGGTCAAACTACATTAGAACAGAATTGTTCCCATTTTGTCTTTAATAGTTACCAACATTAGATATTTTAATGAGATATGGACCGCAAAACAAAACATTTCCCTGATTTTCATTTTTGAAATTAAGTCACCGAATGCAAGTAGTCGCCTTAGCTTATTTTGTTATGAGATGTGAATTACTGTTCAATTTAGTTGATGTAATAATCATTTGGTTTCTTTTACATTAAAAAAAGGTCTTGTGTTTTTTTTCGGAGGGAGGCCCTTTTTCCAGTTTAGAGCAATAGCCCCTCCAAATGTCTGTGCACGGCCCTGGATAGGTGTGTGGGCTGTCTTTCATTTTGACACACAGAACAATGGGGGCTATCCACCCTTATCCACAATGTAAAGTAATTCACACAGCCTCTTCCCTCTTCTCTCTGTGAGGAGCAGCAGGTTCAGCTTTCAGAACAAAGTGTAGTAATAGATTTATTTATTTTTCTTCTCAAGAGAGTACCAGAATGTGTATTTTATGTTAGTAGCATATTTCAAAACTAAAACAAAAAAAATCTCCTGGGGGAGAATCCCCCCAGGCCACCCTGCAGGGGTTGGGTTTTCAGCATGTCAACTCTTTCACCTGTGTAGAAATTGTAGGATTGGCTCCAGGTCGCCCTTTTTATTTACTACAAGACAAATGTGCCTTTTTATTTCATACAGTTCAATTTGGATTGAGACAGGGAAATAATCTAAACCTCACGCGTGGCGTTTCACTGTCAAGGGGAGCGTGTATGTAATTACATTGCAAATACTGACATGAGCCCCACCACTGTATGGGTTAGCCCTACCATAGATTACCCAACAAAAATACTCTCTCGCAACTGCTGACCCGTATTGCGCATGCTCAGATCTAAGAACCAGTAGAAATGATAAAAAGTAAAAGTCTGCTGCTTATTGTTCTAGGCCAAAATAGAGTCAAAGAGTATATGAGAGTGAGAGTGTGTTAATTAATATATTTGGTAGTTTGGAGTAAGTCTGTAGATTTGTTTGTGTGTGTGTGTTTCATGTATAGCTCTCACGATAATTAATTTTGTTGGATACATTTTCCCGGAAATTATTGCGATAAACGATAATATTGTCGGCACCGTTGTATGACCATTTTAGACCACTGACATAATGATAATATATAATAATAATTCAAGTACATCCTTTCAAACTGCTAGTCACATCCTCATGTAAATGGAAATGTATCGAGTTCATTTTTATTTATCGTACGATACGTCAATTAATTGCTTATCGCGACAGGTAGGCCTACACAATAAAACAGTGGAAACAAACATGTGTTTGACTTTCAATAGTGAATGAAACTTTGTGCCCTTTATAGTCTGTGTCCAATATTGTGTATTTGTATATATTGTATATATATATCCTATATATATATATATATATGCTAAGGTCCCGCTGCTGACATGATAGCAGTCATTTCGTGCGCATATGTAATTAAACCCATGATATCAAAATCTCACTCCAGCCAGGTACCCAAAGTTGGCAACCCTGGTGATGATGGATGCCGTGTCTTTTGTTCCACTCCAACTCTGCCTTTTTTCCCGCTTTATTTCAGTGTTTGTTTACTTTTCGTTGTGTGCTTTTAACTTTCACCGCAACATGCGAGCCAACCACACCAATTACTTGTATATAGACTATTCTGCACTATTTCTAGTATATTCTATTCTATTTTATTTACTTGTACTATTTTATCTGTTTTATTGTGTTGCACTGTTGGAGGAGCCTGCGACCAGAGATGGGGTCGTTACTAAAAAAAAGTAATATATTACATATTACTTTAAAAAAAAGTAATATATTACACTACTTCGTTACTCTCTACATAAAGTAACTCGTTACTTTACTCGCAGGGCCGGCCCGCCCCTCCCTGCAGGCAGATCACGCAGACTGCTAAAGTTTCAAATGTTCTCTTTAGTTCAGTTTCCATTGTCGCATAAGACTGATCCAGATCCTGAATGTTTTCCTATCTGGCCATGGCTGTCCTCTCTCTCCTGCTATCTGTATATTTTGCGCAGTCTATCTCTGCTCACGCTGTTGCGTCGGCGTGTTCTCCTGCGTGTTGGCCATGTGTTGCACTGGAACCAGACACCGCAAAGACTTCAGCCGAGCACGTACGAACTGCGCATGCGTGAGTGGCAATAACTCTCCTTACCAGCAGGCGGCAGTAGTGTGTATTCATCATTCAAAACAGGCAACAACCGGAAAACAGAGAAGAAGAACAGACTACGTGATATAAACAAACAACAAATAGCTGTGCGTTAGCTTCACCTTAGCATGTGTTCTTTGCAGGTGTTTGTTGAGGTTTTATTATGACTGATTTTAGTAAGTAACGAAGTAACGCGTGTCGGGGCAATGTCGGGGAATTATAAAAGTAGCGCGTTACACTACTCCGTCACCGACAAAAGTAATATTATCACAGTAGGCACCCAACTCTGCCTGCGACCTAAGATGTTCGTTGTCATAACTACACTGTAGCTATGTACGAATAACAATAAAAGCCTTGAATCCGTGAATATATACTTTTTCTTTTTGGAAAAACCTTGAGTGGTGGTGAGCAGCTCTGAAGGACAATTTATAATGATGTCCTCTAGGTTCTGTGGTTAATGGAGGGCTATTTTACAACATATGTTAAGGACAAATATGATGGAAATATACATTTCTGCATGCTCTTCCCTTTTACCCTTTTTACATGTGGGAAAACCATTCAAATCCATATTACCACAGCAATTGGATGGCAAAAGCACCGCTTCATTTTGTGTGTATGTCATATATCAGTTAGAGTTGTGTGTGTGTTTACCTGGCAGAGTGTCCATTGTGTTCCTCCTGGGAATGTACTTTTCTGGCTTGCCCTTCATATGGCCCGTCCAACTCTGACTCCTGGGACAGCCGGCCGCACTCCGAGTCTGAGTGTGTTTTTGTGACGGGAGGCGGGAGTTAGAATCTACTGTAGGTATCTGGCTTTCAACTTCAACTTCAAAACCTAAATTAAACCAATGCAACAGTACTGCTACACATGTATGGTTACTGTGGAACTAATGAGCATAAACTGATGCCCCGCTGACGTTAGTTTCATGGAAAGTCAAAATAGGTCATGAGTCATTTGGTGGCCATTCTGCTGAGTCTTTATTTCTTGTGCTTTGTGAGGAAGTCACAGAAGTGTCCTTGCCGAGTGGACACTGGGCATCACATCAAACAAATCCACACAAACAAAATAAAGTGCAGCCGGTGGAAGGGACATTTAATTATTACACAAATATCCAGTTGATGTATAATAATCTGACCGCAAACATCTGATGAAAAGCCACAGAATTCTGAGATTGTCAAAGTAGTCATTTTCAACTTGTTGTGTATAGACTCTTCCTGCTTTTAAATCTATTGTTAAATAATATTTGAGAAACATTTGGATGGAAAATGACACTCACTCACCGATACTGTGACGCAGGGAGTCAGCAGTGCTGGGGCGACTGCCCGAGCGTGTGGGGGGGCGGGAGTTGTATCGAGAAGGAGGCAGACTTCCTTCCTCGCTTTAAAGAAGAGCCATCAGAGTGAATATATCAGTGTAGTTTTCTTGATCTCAAATCTTTTAACCTTAATCTTAACAGTTCTACACCTTAATCTTAACAGTTCTACATATAGTTGTACAACACTCTTAACAAACCAAGATAAACAATGCCATTAGTACTATCAGTTACTTGAGTGAGTTGATGCTCCCTTATCTCTGGGGCCAGCTCATGTGTAGTACACTGATCCCTCATACCGTCATATCTATTACTCTAAAATAACACTCTCCATTATCTCTAATGTCTGTCTTACAGTTGTTATTGACTTGATATGCCTTTCAGTACAAAGCGGCTACAGTTCCAGTTTCCTCTTGCTCACTCGTTTAAAGTATATGAACAATGCAGTCTTGCTTTGCTACGATTAAGGGCAAATTGTGTTTGAATGCATTCCTGCTTTGACCTACTGCACTGCTTTCAAAAGGTCTTCATTATCCGTGTGGTTGAGAAAGTGGGCAGCCGTTATTGTCAAAATGAATAAAAAGTCAGATTGTGGGCTATGTAAATGTGTCCACTATAAAATGAAAGAGGACATACATAGCATTACTTTATCTCAATATAGTATTCTGTGCAAAATCGTTAGGAAGCGACTGCCCACCCTGAATCCGTGTATCTACCGTCCAATTGTTTTTCTTTATTAGACACGTAAACAGAAGAGCGTCTGAGAGGCGTTTTTGCTTTTTGCCTTACTAAATGGTCAAATGGTCCTTGGAGCGAGGGGCGGGGCGAGACTCTCGGAAGTGATTTCAAAACAAAAGCACTCGTTTGCTAAAATCACACTTGTAATCACTACAGTATCCTACTGAAGGAACGGCGATTATTATAAACAAGGGGAATTTAGCGATCACAACGAAAACGGCCAAGACAGATATTGAGCCCAGAAAATGTATGTTGTTAAGGGCTGTAAATATAATAAGCCTGTGTCTAAAATGGACAACATTGTTAGGAGATTTAAACTATACAGCGGTTCTGCACTGCGGTCACTCAGCCGTCTCTCGAGTTTGTTTTTTCAAATCAGCTGCTCTTCTTTATTCCTGCTATATTTGACAAGTGATACAAATATTTGTTACCATAAGTTCTTAAGGAAACTGACTCTGTTGGACTCGGTTCTAGTTTGACTTCTACCAGAAATAAAGTACTTTTACTGTGTACTTTGTGAGTAATCCTCTTGTCAAAGTCCCCTCCATAGTAGCCTACATAATGCATGTTTTTCTGCTATCTTTGATGAATGATAAAAATATAGTGTTACCATTAGTTCTTAATGAAATTGATACTGTTTGACTTTGTTTTAGTTAGCCTACTACTTACAATACATTGAAGTACTTTTACTGTGTATTTTTTGAGAAATACTCTGTCAAAGTCCCCTGCTGAGAACAAAATCAAGCCACTTCTGCTAAGTTTGATGAGGGAATTCTTTTTTGTTTCCATTAGTTCTTCGTGAGGTTGATCCTGTTGGACTCAGTACTAGTGAAACTACCCCCACAAGTACTATGAAGTACTTACTGTGTACTGTTCCAGTACTTCTCTGTCAATGTCCCCTCCTGAGAACAAGAATGCATGTTTCTCTGCTATTTTGAATAAGCGTTAAACAACCTTTCTTCATGAGACTGATATTGTTGGACAGAGTATTTTAAGAGGATGGTAGACTGCACAATGACACACTCTGTCACTCTTGTTGGCCACTTATGATGCTGCTGTCTTTTAATATATGATTATTTCTCAGCCGCTAGTTCGTCACAGATTCTTCAGTCTCATTAGCCTCATCCTTCCATCAGTCCCCTGCAGTCAACGCATCAGCCTCCAGCACACTTCCAGTGTCTGACTCCATATGATTTTGTCCTGATGCTGTAGGGTGAAACCCCATGTTCACAAAATGACCCAAGGAGACACCCATGAGTGCCAAGGACCTCATATTATGTATGTCATTAATGTTACATCACCCATTATAACAATTTGCTTTCCTTTTTCTCTTCTCTTAACTGAATAGCCCTGTCTTTAAGTATAACCCAATGTAAAGCCCTCCACCATTTTAAGGCTTCAAAACAGGCATTTTTACTGCATGTGTTTGGAGAAATAAAACAATCAATGGCCCAGAATTGTACTTGATAAACTCTGAATCTTGTGGTGCTTGAAGAATTACACACTGGTTAAGCCGGCCAGGTTATATATGTCTTTATTGGAGCCCTTTTTTGCAATATTTATTAAAATGTCACTAGTTATTTAAACAAACCATCAATATTTTTATTAACTTCAACCAAAGTCAATTTAAATAGCGGGCAAAAATGGGTTAACTGCCATGCATGTGGTGTTTGATATAGTTTACGTTCAATTTCAACTACTTTAGGCAGAAAAACGTATATTCACTAAACCTTTTTTAATGATTTACTATAATTTAGAAAGGTTTTTGTGAGAAATCATTTAAAAAGTAAACTTATTTTTCATTTTATATTTAAATTTGAAATGTTTGCACACAACATTATTAATGTATACATTTAAAAAAATTATGAATCCATTTATTTTATTGTATTTCCTTGAGGCTGGGGAAGATATCATGTAGTTCAACATGCAAATGTTCTAAGGCAAGTAAGTATAAGTATAACATGGAAAAGGAAATAAAATAGGTTTCATAGGAGGATGTGGATTTATTTTCTCTCACCTTGTAATTACACAATCAAACAATCTATAATTTAGCTCTGGCCTTCACTCACAAAAAAACATTTAGTTGAATTGGACACATTTTTCGAAGCTCTATTATTGACTGACATGCAATGACTGGGACTGATGGAAGAATCTGCGAGAAATGAACTGGAGCAGAGAAATAATCATATTAAGACAGCAGCTTCATAAGAGGCCAACAAGAGTGACAGAGTGTGTCAGTGTGCTGAAGGATAGACCAGCTATCCAGGCCAGACTCTAAAGACTTTCCAAGGGGTAAAAATGCTGCTGCCGGAGTACTGACTGGAAGTATTGCTGATATCATGTCCACCATATCCTCTTAAAATACTCTGTCCAACAATTTCAGTCTCATGAAGAAAGGTTTTTTTTAACGCTTATTCAAAATAGCAGAGAAACATGCATTCTTGTTCTCAGGAGGGGACATTGACAGAGGAGTACTGGAAAAGTACACAGTAAGTACTTCATAGTACTTGTGGGGGTAGTTTCACTAGTACTGAGTCCAACAGGATCAATCTCACAAAGAACTAATGGAAACAAAAAATAATTCCCTCATCAAACTTAGCAGAAGTGGCTTGATTTTGTTCTCAGCAGGGGACTTTGACAGAGTATTTCTCTATAAATACACAGTAAAAGTACTTCAATGTATTGTTAGTAGTAGGCTAACTAATACAAAGTCAAACAGTATCAATTTCATTAAGAACTAATGGTAACATTTTATTTTTATCATTCATCAAAGATAGCAGAAAAACATGCATTATGTACTATGGAGGGGACTGAGATAGAGAATTACTCACAAAGTACACAGTAAAAGTACTTCATTTTATTTCTGGTAGAAGTCAAACTAGTACCGAGTCCAACAGAGTCAGTTTCCTTAAGAACTTGTGGTAAAACATATTTGTATCACTCGTCAAATATAGCAGGAATGAAGAGCAGCTGATTTGAAACAACAAACTCGAGAGGCGGCTGAGTGACCGCAGTGCAGAATCGCAGTATAGTTTAAATCTCCTAACAATGTTGTCCATTTTAGACTAAGGCTTATTATATTTACAGCCCTTAATAACATCCATTTTCTGGGCTCAATCTGTGTCTTGGCCGTTTTCGTTGTTTTCGCTAAATTCACCTTGTTTCCCTTTGTTTATAATATTATCACCGCTTTTGTTTGAAATCACTTCCGTGAGTTTCGCCCCGCTCCTCGCTCCAAGGACCATTAGACCATTTAGTAAGGTAAAAAGCAAAAAGGCCTCTCAGACGCTCTTCCGTTTACGTGTTTAATAAAGATAAACAATTGGACGGTAGATACACGGATTACCCTGGAGCAAGAGACCCAACCTTATCCTGCTCACTATGTGTCACCATGACAGTCACAGACACCATCAATTAGCATGTCAGCTTTAGAATGAACTGCAATTAGGACTGTCTGACATTGTCTGTGTTTTCATTTCACTTACATTGCATTGACGTTACGATGAGAGCTAGGGGTGACTGGCCGTTGCAGGGGTTCATCACCACTTGCTGGCAGCACAGGGGTCGACTTCCTCTTCACTTTCGCCATGTTGGTCATGATCTACACACACACCACACACACACACACACACACACACACACACACACACACACACCACACACACACACACACACACACACACACACACACACACACACACACACACACACACACACACACACACACACACACACACACACACACACACACACACACACACACACACACACACACACACACACACACACACACACACACACAATATTATGTAAAGTTGTTATATCTCTGTTAATCTGTGAATATATTGCCCTCTTTATATATATAGCAGATAGCAGTCTGTAGAGTTGATGTCATGAAGATACATAAACCAGAATGCGTCCAGAGAAACATATTTTTCAAGATTCCAGTTTCAAGATTCAAGGCTTTATTGTCATGTGCACATTAGCTACAGTCAGGGTTCATACACTTTTTCACCAATGATTTTCCATGACTTCTCAATGACCTTTACCTAATGACCAAAACAAAATTACCACTGAAAATGTTTTATTTTAACATGGAACAGGAAAATAAGGTCTGCATATGAAACATGTTGTGCCTATCTAAAACAAATCAAATAGTAGGCTTACTAGCTTCTACACGCTAAAGCAACTGTAGTCAGGGATGCAAACTCATCAGGTATGAAAAAGGTGACAAGGATCCGACCCCCGACCCCACGGAATATCGGCTTTAAAATGAGGAATAACAGAGGATTTTAGCAATCAGAACAACTAAAGCAGCAGTGTCAATAATAACAGAAACGCCAAAGAGTCACATCTAATAGAAATATATAAAAGCATTTATTTTAATTGTGTAGCAGTCAGTTTATAATTTTGGCAGCACTGTTGAGCATTTTGAAAATGTATTTTCATGCCTTTGTGCAAGGCTTAGTCTTTCTATCTTTATAGCCAGCGGTGTAAAGTAACTAAGTTCATAAACTCAACAAATGCTATACGTGGGTACAATTTTGAGATACTTGTACTTTATTAAGTATTTCAATGTTTTGCTACTATGTTCTTCTACTCCTCTACAATTCAGAGGTAAAAGGTGTACTTTTACTCCACTACATGTATTTCATTTTACTCAAGTACAATATCTGAGTAATTTTACTTTTACTCAAGTACAAGATCTGAGTACTTCTACTTGTACTCAAGTACAACATCTGAGTACTTCTACTTTTACTCAAGTACAATATCTGAGTACTTCTACTAAAGTACAAGATCTGAGTACTTCTACTTTTATTAAGTACAAGATCTGAGTAGCCTACTTCTACTAAAGTACAAGATCTGAGTACTTTTACTCTAGTACAAAATCTATACTTATACCACCTCTGTTTATAGCCTATGAAAACTATTAGAAAACGAAGGCTAAAGCTAACGTTAGCAGATAGTGACAATGTATGCTAGCTAGCTAGCTCAACGATTCCTTAAATAATATTGCGACCATAGCATTGCGACAGAAAAACTTTTCAGTTCACATCACGCTCTGCCGCTCAGCTCTGAACACCTGAACGGCCCGTTCTAACAGCTGTTCACCAGCGGCTCAGTCTGTGCCACAGTTAACAACACACCGTAGATCAGTGGTTCTCAAACTTTTTTCAATAATGTACCCCCTTTGAAAAAAAAATTCAGCTAAGTACCCCATGATCAGCGCAAAAACTATTTGTTAGGGGAAAAAAGCCTATATAAAGAGGTACAGTACAGCGCTGCACCATCAGTGTCTGATTCATTAAAACAACAACATTGTAACTGAGAAACACTTAAATGCTACATTTCAAATGTTTACAATCCATCACAAAATTCATGGCAAACCAATTTTAACATCATGCAATAACACTAAGACGACATTAATTGCTTTGAACTGATCTTTTTAATAAGTTGTACTTACAATGTAGTGAGAAACATGGGCTTGTGCTTCACTGAGGATCTTTGTCATTCTGACAGGGAGGCAAACTGCAGCTATTACACTTTGTGCTTTGAAATATGTGTAACTCTGTTAATACAAAACCCACATTGCTCAAACTTCGTTACTTTTCCTAAAATTGGTATATTTATTTATTTTGGTGCGTGGGGAATGAAGAGAAAAATATATATGAGCATTTTATGAGCATGGGATTTTGACCCCTCATATAAACATATGCATAATGCTGCGCTATACTTTGCGGCCACACGCCGTTGCCAAGCAACGCTTATTGTTTAGGTCCTTTGATAAGCAGGCAGTCATATCATTAGCTAGAACTAGCTAGATCTGAAAGATTTGGACATAAACGCGAGAGAAGTCTAACCGGACGCAAGAGAGGGATCAGAGATCAGATCAGCTGCTGCTGACGGAGAACACGCAGCTCTGCATGATCACAGCTCCGTCCGCTGTGACGGACCGGTGAGCAAAGCAAAATACACTGAGAGTTAGACCCAGGGCCGCCCCTCCCTACAGGCCAATCACGCAGGCTGCATGGGGCCCCGCCTTGCGCAGGGGGCCCCGCCCAGAGGGCCTCAGCTGCTGTGCGCAGTTCTCCGCTCAGTTCTCCGCGCACCCCCCGCGAGAGTGAGAGTGAGAGGTGAGAAGGGAAGCACGTCTGTAACCCGACACCGTTGCAATGAATCGAGATCTGACCAATCACGGCTTTGATACGGCCACTAGTGCAGGTGAAGAGATGTCGGTGAAAAGACAGTTTCAGTCCGGCACAAGCAAGAGGGGAAAAAAACAATACATGAAGAAACTAGAGCATCACCCGAAGGTGGGCTATTGTATGAGTCAAATGTACAACTTGCGAATGTTGTATAAGTCAAATTGCCAATTGCCATATTAAAACATCAGCTGCAATTCACGACATGCAGAAGGCAGTCTCTGCATAGCATATTGGCTAATGGAGATGCAGTTATTTCCAGCATTCTTTATTTAACATTCATTCAAGTAAGTTATGCCTTTTTATCTGCTAATGTACAGGAGGAAGAGTGATACACTGTCTGTCTAGTTGGCTTACATAACAGTTCAAGTTTACAGCTTAAAAACGTGGAGCATTTTCCCCCTTTTATTCATTTTTATGTCAATTTGCACATTTCATGGTGATGCTCAGCCTCTCCCCTTAACTCCTAACAGTCATCATCATGTCAACCACAACACAGAGAAATACTGATAGAAATGTGTGTGTAGTTGTTGATACATTGCTGACAGAGGGAACTACATTTGAATACAGATTTAAGAAATATCAGTTTTTGAGCATGTCATAAGCATGTTTTGTCTGGACTATATTACAACTAAATTATAATAAAATAATATAGTATTTATATTATTGAATTGATTATGATTATGATTATTATTATTAGTAGAAGTAGTTTATTTGCATTCATTATATTTTAATCTTTTTGAGGCTAGTATTTGGCAGGAAATGCAGACGTACATGCACATTTACCATTTACCTCACTGTATACAAAAGTAACTGTGTTGATACTAATAATAAACAGGAATTATATTTGCAAAGTAGCCTACTTTGTTTCCAAAAAAATGTGTTTCACTCCTGTCGGTTGGGGGGGGGGGGGCCTCATCTCACAATGTCGCTTGGGGCCCCAAGTTGGCCAGGGGCGGCCCTGGTTAGACCTAACACACTTAGCTAGTTTATCTACTCTGGAACTAGCTAAACTAGTTATACATATATTTATTCTTTACTGTCGGGTCACTTATTACAGGTTCAGCGAGCTGCAGGGTCGGCTCCAGAACAAATCGAATGGGGGGGAAAGCATTTACCAAGGGGGGGCACACACTGCCGTCAACAACCAACACACAAACACCAACGCAACTTCAATTAAAAAAAACATGCTGTAAAGTGTCTTTCACACACATTGCAGGGGTGTAGTGCTATTTTATAGCGCGCCTATGACTTGTGCATACATGCACGGTTGTGGCACGACCACCAAAACAGAAACATATAAGGACATAGGCCACCATATAAAAAGTGTGCAAATGTATTTATTATCCTATCCATGTGAACATGTTTTAGGTGGGGGTGGACCTAACGTCCTCTAGGAGGGTCTGGGGGCATGCTCCCCCGGGAAGATTATTTTTAAAATATTGAAGTTAAATGCATCAATCTGGTGCACTTTGAGAGCAAAATGAAGAGATCTATGGATAGCCTACATCTCTAAGCATCCATATGAAACAGAACTGTACACAAATGTACTTTTTCTTTATGGATATTTTACTAATCACTCCCCTTTTAAACTGTATTCTTGTGTTACTGTCCTATAGTATTTCATACCCGTTTTTCATTTATTCTCTTATTCTTTAATAACTATAATGATCATATAAAGGTATTCCTCGCAAATACTTGTTTACATAAATGGTGAGCAAACCGCGTTTGAGACCCACTGAGATAACCTACACTAAAGTTAACTATCTAAACACTGAGAGTCCTTACCTCACTGAGCTGAGGTTATACGATCCTCTCAGTCTGACAGGAGAGGACTCTCCTCCACCTTGGTGTAGAAACAGCTCTTTATATCCGTTAGCATAGCTAGATAACCAGATGCTAACAACAACATTCCACGTTACCACTCGCGCACTCACAAAATACGCTCGTGCCACACACACACAGAGCCGAGCTTGAATGAAACACAGAGACCCAGAAGTAGGCTACTTGTACTGTAGGCCTACTATATCATATTATTTTCGATGGCTTTACTGTATAATCAGTGTAACAGATGAACAGATCGCCACTGGGCTTTCATCTAAACACACAGCCACGTAATGATAACAAAACAAAGGTCGGGGGTCATTGGTCAAGCAACACACCAATCAGAGAGCAGCAGTGAGCACACCTCAGGCTGTGTTTTATATTTGTATTCTTTATTTCTGATGTATTTCACACAAAAAACCTTTAGTGGAAACGTTTTCACTGATATGATTAAAAAAAAAAAAAAACGGCAAAGTGGCAAGGCTTGCCCACCCTGCTTTGGGGGGGCACAGTGACTCATTTGGGGGGGCATGGCCCGCGAATGACCCCCCATGACGCCGACCCTGGCGAGCTGCACGAGACTGACGGGCTGTGAGGAGAGGGAGAGGAAAAGAGAGCACCCCGTTTATTGTTCCCATTTTATTATCCAGAATTACTGTAAACCTTTGAATAAAGTAGTTAATCTTCTATTAGTAGTTTGTTTAAATATTTGTTTATATTTTATTCATTAACATAAATAAATCTCACGTACCCCCTGCAGTACTCCAACGTACCCCTAGGCGTCCGCGTACCCCCATTTGAGAACCACTGCCGTAGATAATGTAGCTGACCCTCATCCCGGAGCAGCAGAGATCAGCCAGCCCGACAGGCAGGAAGACTCGAGCACACAGCTCGCGCTTCATATATTAAAAAATAACACCATGCGCGTCATGATGGCACATAACAGCTCGCGACCGCAGATTATTTCAGCGATTAGATAAAATGTAAATTATATTTGACGCAACTTTAGTTACATTTCCATGACTTTTCCAAAACTTTGGGAAAAATATTGTTTTCCATAACTTTTCCAGGGCCTGGAATTTTCATTTTGAATTTCCATGACTTTTCCAGGTTTTCAATGACCGTACGAACCCTGTACAGTGTAGATATGGCAATGAAAAACTTCAGTCACAGGCTCCTTCAACAGTGTAACATGAATAGATATAGGACATAAAACAGATAAAACAAAACTCTTGGACAGTCGTTACCACTCTTTTAAAAAGGTAGTTGCACTGTAATGGGTTATTAGGATAACTATAGGTTACTTACATAACCCCAGTTCTCAGAGTAACATGTAGTGAGATGTCTCACTATGGGATGCGCCTCATCGCGGAGCAAACAGAAGCATCAATCTCATTACGCCAATCCTGATTGGCTGGTGATCTTGACGTCAGCGTCAGGGAATCCACCCCCTATAAGTAGCTTGCGCTACGTCGCATGCGTCATTCAAAATAAGCACCTCTTCTCGCTTCACCATAGCAAGGAGGGCCGTCTGGTGAGACATCTCACTACATGTTACTCTGAGAACTGGGGTTACGTAAGTAACCTATAGTTCTCATTCATAACACTCCGTTCGATGTCTCACTATGGGATATTGTAGCTCCCGTATTGCCAGACGAGCTTATCTCGAAATTCACCAAACCAACCAGAACGTAACAGGTAGAGCTCTGACTCAACAAGGTGCCCAGCACTGCTCGGGCCACACTTGGAGCAGAGACGTCTAGCCTGTAAAAGCGGACAAAAGTGAGCGGCGAGGACCAGCTCGCTGCTGCACAAATGTCTTGGATGGAAACACCCTTGAACAAAGCCCAGGATGTAGCCAGACCACGAGTAACGGGACCTGGAGGTCTCCTTGGCCATTTCGGGCCACGGGATGTCTAGTCTGGACGCGGCACGCTGACACACGGCCTGCAGGTCCATGCTCAGACAGGGCGAAGCTGGTGTGCTATCGCCCGGGAGAGCAGCCATCGCTCCCGGCTTTGCAGCCTGAGCCGATGACACGAAGATATCGTCTTCTTGCTCATCCGAATCAGACAGGAGGAACTCAGAGGCACCCTCTTCGTCCTCCATATAATCCAATTCCAGGATATCCTCCGCGGGCGAAACCATGGTGAGGTCCAGCCGGGAGCCCCAGCTTGGTAAAGCGTGGGGCTCCGTTCTCGCGTCTCTTGCCGCCACCGGGTCCCAGCCTGACACGGCGCAGGACTCCGGTTCCGCAGCTGACGCTGTTGATGAGCCCCAGACCGACACAGTGCGGGGCTCAATCTCTGCGGCGGACGCCCCCGCGTCTTGATTGCCAGCCGGAAAATCAGCGGACATGAGGGGGTCCTGTCCCGACAAGCTAGCTTGGCGTGCTAACCGTCGGCGGAGGCTCTTTACGGTGAAGCGGGCACAATGCCCGCACGAGCCGGGGTTGTCAATAGCCTCCTGGGCGTGTTCCAGCCCGAGGCAGGACGAGCAGACCTGGTGTGAGTCTGTGCCTGATATTTTCAATCCGCAGCTGCAGAGCCGAGCCTCCGAGTCCCTGACTCCTCTGGTGTGAGGGAGAGAGGCGTCCATCTTGTTCGCCGCGTGGCGTGGAGAGGACCCGCTCGTAACAGGTACGTAGCCTCGCTACCGTGGTGTCGGTAGTGAGGGAAAGCAAGCTAGCAACACACCTGTTGCTAGCTTGAAAAAATCAAAACCTTACCTTAATTTCCGAGGAAAGAAACGGCGAGGTCGATTGTAATACTAACTGGTGTGTTAGCATTAACAGTCTAGCCGGCGAGCGCCCGTCGACCGAAAGTTAGCTTTGGGTTCAGTCTGTGGACTGTTAAGCTAGCCCGGCTACCATCGAGATGTGCTCTGAAGCGAGAAGAGGTGTTTGAATGACGCATGCGACGTAGCGCAAGCTACTTATAGGGGGTGGATTCCCTGACGCTGCCAGGCTTCTCACCCACACCAAGCCATGGCACCATATCACCCCCACCCTCATCCACCTACATTGGCTGCTGGTCAAGTCCCGGATTCAATACAAAACACTCATCCTCACGTACAAGTCCCTCCATACCCTCGCCCCCCAGTACTTATCGGACCTCCTCCATCCCTACACCCCTTCTCGGAGTCTGCGGTCCTCAGACACGGGCCTGCTCTCCATCCCCCGCTCTCGCCTCCGAACTGTTGGTGACAGGACAGTGTTGCAGCCCCCACCCTCTGGAATGCACTTCCTGCCGAGATCCGTAATGCTGCCTCCCTGGACATCTTCAAATCATCACTAAAAACACACCTGTTCACCCTGGCCTTCGGGCCCTAGCCCTTTTCTGGTCCCCTGGCTTCCTTTATTTATTTCTTTGGTTTGCCCGTTGATTGTCTGTTTGTTTCTTTTGTCCACCATGTACAGCGACCTTGGGTCCCTTGAAAGGCGCTATATAAATATCATTTATTATTATTATTATTAAGATCACCAGCCAATCAGGATTGGCGTAATGAGATTGATGCTTCTGTTTGCTCCGCGATGAGGCGCATCCCATAGTGAGACATCGAACGGAGTGTTATGAATGAGAACTACACAATACTGGTCTGACACAGGGACATTGTGAGCCATTGACATTAATGTATAAAAGCAAGTTTACACCTTTTTTGACATCTCGAGGACTTATGAGGGGTCCATGAGGGGTCAGTTGCTTATTCAGGACAAATGAACATGATGATGACACCCACCTTAAAGCTCTTTTAGGGGATGTGCTGTCTGTGTTTGTAGTTATCAGGTTTTTAGACACTTATATTTGAGACAGCTTCCTTAAAAGTGAGGATCCGCTTGTCTCCTTCATTGTTTAATGCGTGCACACAAGGCAGTTAACACTACCAGCTCCCCTTATGGTATTGTACCTTTAGCTCTTGCACTAGCTGGAAGCTCCAAAGTTAATTCATAACCTTCAGCTGGCTTATCAAATTAATTAAGACACTAGCGGAGTAATTGTGAGTAGTTTAGGTGTCTGCTAATCTAACAGCATGTTGTTGAGGAGTGTAGTGAGTGTGTTGTGTGTGTTTTGCTCTTACTCCGAGGTACTCAGTGGTGAGCAGACTCTCTCCAGACAGTTCCCTTGGCTGTGGCTGGAGAACTTCCTCTATTTCAAGTTCTGTCTCCATTAGATCTTCCTGTCAGAACACAATAACAGCATGCAGTGTCAGTAATGTGGATTTTGTAACAATCAGCATTCAATCAATTTATGAACAGCTGACATCACCTCAATTGGTTCAAGGTTCTTTATTGTCAAACTAACATAGCTACAGAGTAATTATGTCGTTGAAAATCTTAGGTCACAGGCTTCTCCAACAATGCAACACAATAATACAGATAAGCAGACAATATTAAAACAATATTAAAGTATATTATATAGTTTTTTAAAAAAGTGAGAAAAAAAAAGAAAGAAAGTGGAATAGTGCAATACGAGTCTATATACAAGTTCTTCGGCTTCATTTACCTCTATTATATATATATATATATATATCAAATGTACAGGTTTACAGAAGTGTCTCGATTTCTGCGGCTAAGGTTAGTTTGGTGGGGTTGACTATACTTTTTTGTATGTACTTTTTGCAATAACATTTATTCGAGTCTACAAGCTAGGTTGAAAGCGAATACAGTGCTTGGCACCAAGTCACACGGCACCAACAAGAGACCAGTGTTGTCTACATTTGTCGGACTCACTCACACAAGTGGGGAACATACAGTATATCAGTTTAACCTTATAGCCATGGTAAATAGATAGCAGCAACAGAAACACCTCATCTGAGATCAGAGGCAATGGAATAAGGGCAACACTTACGACCACATGCCTTATCTTGATAACCCACTTTCCCACATAATCCAATCTACCAAGATCATCATCACCCCCCCCCCCCCCCCCTAAACACACATGACATCCAATATCTGTGTCACGCTGAAATTGCTATCTACAGGTGTGGGAAAGGTGTCAAATATGAGGTGTTCATTCCGGTCGTGCTTCTTCTCATCTCCATTTTTTTAATCTGTTTTTGTTAATACATTCATATAGTTGGGAAATCATTCGTAGTTGGGTATGTCTCATGGGCTTAGAGGAGGACTTACATCATTATCATCCTCTTCTTCATCATCTGATTCTGGCCCCTCATCATCAGCTGGTTGGAATAAAGCCAAAAACACCAGCATTTAACATAATCAGTAAATGTGCCTATGGAGGCATAGATAGACCCAATGATAACAAATACAAACTAGGGATTTTGATTTAAGCAATTAATCAACTATTCAAAAAATAGATACTTGCTATTCACATTATAAAACACTACCATTTCAAAAACACACTAAATGTCCTGCTATCTAACCAACATTTTACATTACATTGTTGGGTATTTTATCCTTGAATATAAATACCATTCGTAGTAGAGTACATCATTACAACAGTAAACATGACTTCACTAACCTGAGTTTAGCTGTTTAAGGATGAACTTAATCTGTCTGTTGAGGTCTGGGTTCTCCTCTTTGCTGTAGCAGCGGAGGATCTCCTCCACACTCTGCACAGGGGAGGGAAACACAAAACGCACTGGTGTTAGTATATCACTTTATACCTGAAAGACAAAAACAAGGGCTATATTTCTAGTACTGATAGAATCAATAGCAGCGACTTTACTAGCAGTAAGCAGTGTAATAACAACTGGCTGGACGTCAAAAGTGCTGAAGTGGAATATAACATTTTGTAATTGTGTTACTTATAGGGTTAATACACTTTTTCACAAATTATTTTCAATGACCTTTACCTAATTTTCCATGACCAAATAAATTACTCTTTCTCAGCGGTACCACTGAAAATGGTTTATTTTAACATGGAGCAGGAAAATAAGGTCTGCATATGAAACATGTTGTGCCTATCTAAAACAAATCAAATAGTAGGCTTACTCGCTTCTACAGCTACTAATTAAAATCTCTCACCAGCAAAATACCTCGACAGTTAAATGCCATTTTACGTTCCATTACTATACGATACAGTATTTATGATCATTATAGTATTACTATTTTGGCGATTAGATAAAATATAAATTATATTTGATGCAACTTTAGTTACATTTCCATGACTTTTCCAAAACTTTGGGAAAAATATTGTTTTCCATAACTCTTCCAGGGCCTGGAATTAGCATTTAGAATTTCCATGACTTTTCCAGGTTTGTAATGACCGTAAGAACCCTGTACTTATGATCACTGATGTTTAGGCATTTGCTTAAATATTAAATTTGCTTGACAGGATGGACCTAGAGCCATACATACTCTCCTGCGACTCCAAATGTCATTGCAGAAACATTTTCAACCTGAGACACAGATACAAGCCACCCGCTCACCAGTATCTTTGTACAGAGAGTGAGTCATATGACTGAACACCTGTTATTTCCTGTCCAAACACTGGCTGTGTGGTGACATAAAGAGAAAAACACAAACTGCGTCTGTTTCCTCTAAGCAGGTGAAGACATGTGTGCTATCTCACCATCTCTTTGGCTTCCTGTCTCACAGAGGGAATACACAGGATACTGTACAGGGCTCCATTCACATATGGCCGAATCTGGTAGAGCAAATGACACACGCACGCGTACACACACACACGCGTACACACACACACACACACACACATCCTCTGTTTTATTTTCTCTGGCCAAATGGTAAACACGTTTAGAAATGTGCACCAGCTAAGGAACACAGATACAAAGAAGAAACAATCTTTTGCAGTGGATCCAAATACAAGATTAATTTATAGATATAAAAGTATGTCAGTTACAAGACTAAATGAGTTAATGACTTGACGGCCTTTCATAAAATTGAAAGAAGCTTGTGTTGCTTATCTTTTATAGATTTAATTAAAGTAATGGATCATTTCAAGACACTCAAACACTCCGGGAGGCATCATAAATGTAGTTTTAAGGCAAGTCTGCATGTTTCTGTTGGATTACAGATTGAAATTCCAACCGATCAGCTGGTAGTGAAGCTGAATTATGCATCTATGTGAACGCTGTGAATTAGTGCTGTGTGTAGTCCTCTGAGGTGTTTTGATTTAAGTTTTAGTCAAGAGCTGGAATTGTTTTTTCCGAGGGTACGCGCATGTGTTTATTTTGTACGTATTACACATCCATGTTGTTTTACCTCTGTGAATGTGTGTGTGAGCATAACAAACATTGGGCATGCAACATCTGTGTGCCAGTGTGGACGGATGTGTGTGTGTCACCTCGTGGTTCTCGTGTCCAAGGAGGTCGGTTAGAACCTTGAGCACATGCTTGGCGTTCTCCGCACACTTCCTTTTTCCTGTACAAAGACAGACCACACACACACACACACACACACACACACACACACACACACACACACACACACACACACACACACACACACACACACACACACACACACACACACACATACACACACACACACACACACACACACACACACACACACACACACACACACACACACACACACACACACACACACACACTCAATCTAACAGCCCAAAATGGTATCCTACAATGTGACTCATTTGTTTAATTAAGGATAGGGTGACCTTTTACTGATTAATATGATTTTCTCCAAATGTTTTTCCATTAGTTTTATCTCTCTGTTTGTAAGATAATACCAGTCCAGCTTTTTCACTTTGGTATAAACAGCAGGCCCCCGGGCAACTGAGACAAAACTGAAGATAGTGAAACTGAAACTGAAGTAGTGAGAAAGAGGGAGAGTATATCTGTTGATGGTTTATATATAATATATGTGTATTAAGGGGTGTAACATGAACACAGATACACTACAGATATGGTCTAAGAGGAAATAAGTAGAAGAAGCTGTAAAAACTCAAATGTTGTGTTGAACGAAAACTAAAGAAATATTGGCTTTTACTCTGCCTATAATAAAATCATCCAACAGTTAAACATACAAGTTGATTTACAGTGACATCAGTTAGTATTTATAAGATGACATTTCCTCCATATGTTTCTTGGATTCTATTCAAGTAACACAATATATAGTAAAGAGGACCCGCAAGATGTATAGAATAGAATCCTACGGCTCACAGTCCAAGCCCCTACTGACTGAGCCACTGCCGGACGTATACAGTAGTATACCATATATGAAGAGAGAAACGTTGTATTTATGAGTTAAACTCCCATTGAGTATTTTTTTAATCAATTTAACTCTATAAGCAAAGTGTATTGTGAGGAACATTCCCAGCCAAATCTGAACAGTTTGGGGTCTCATGCCATATGAATCTGTGGGTCTGTGCTTCATGTACCTGAGCCTCATCTTTACCTTTTGTTCGCAGACACAGGTTCATGAGCAGAGCAGCAGAGTACTCCAGGGTGTAGTCGCTCAGGCAGTCAGAGTCCTGCAGCTCATCCACCAGCCAGCCAATCAGATCGTCTGCTATCATGGCCGTCTGCTGGCTCCTCCTACCAAGAAGACATAATAAAAAGTTATAGATGTCATACAACATTTGTGTTACTGAGCGGGAAAGGAATTCTGGTTGATATCCAGAAAGCTTGATCCCTGATGTTTCATCATATTTAAAGCAAAACGGCAAGCATGAATTTAATTTTAAATTAAATCAAAAATAGAAGATTTAACTATTTGATTTCAATAATCTGTTGCTTCTTCAGGGTTTTTGTCAAGGTGATATTTGTTTTATATGACACTAGCCCATCTACAAGTCAAAAATAACAACACAATTAGGTGATGATTGGTAATTAATTCGACAAACTGGTATTTCATTTGGTTGATAAACACACCATTCAGTTTTAAAATAGTTTGAAAGAGTAGAGTTTCACCTGAGGCTGAGCTTCTGCAGCGCCACTAGCACGTTCTCTCTCGTTACGGAGTCTTTTTCCTCCATCCTCAGCGCCTCTGTCAGACGTTTCAGCAGAATGGGGATGTGGGAGAGGTAAACCCGACCTATAAGGATTAACACAAAATCAAATTAAGATCAAAATGCAATACAATTATTTATTTTAAGGCCTCACTGGACACTAAAATACACCAGTTTAATCTAAGCTACAAGCAGTGGCTTCAACAGTGAAAGCCAAACATTTCACAATACAGTTTTATTGCAACAGTATGATCTCCTTCACACAGCAAAGCTGACCAGATTCACCATGATGGGTAAACCTGATGCAAACATATTCTTACCATCTCAACCTGTTACTATGAATACATTTAGTTGCATGAGGTTCACAATTTATATATAATGTTTTGTAATTTCCAACTTTTAGAAAATTAAAAAAGCTACTACCAGAGTCCTTCCGACTTAACTTTCCAATACAACTGTTCCTTGTTCTTGCAAATCAATGTTAGCTTATTGATCTTCAATACAAATAATTTGAACTCCACCACTGAGTACATAAAAGAAAGTCATGCGTGTCAGCATAAATCATATCATTCTGAACAACATTGTCCATTTATTTCCAAAGTTGCTGCTGCAGAGGATCATTAGCAGAACTGAATGGAAGTTATTGTAAAAGCTTTTGAAGTCTTCCTTGAAACTAACTCTACAAATGCATCCACTCAGACAATGACTCATGTTCAAAAGAAATAATGATGCTTAGGCACTTACCCTCTGCAAGGGAAGCGAACGCATTGATGAGACGAGCCATGTATTGGCGGACAATCTCGTTCCTGGAGCTCATTAAATGAAGCACAGTTTTCTGTAAAAGACATCAAATGTAGGGTAGTTTAGAATGATAGCTAGTACTTTCACGGTATCATACTTTTGAGCAGGCTCAACAAATGTGGCCAAAATATACAAAATGATTTGGAATTATTTAAAACTGATGCTCATGGGCTGATTCTACATTGTGTTACCTCATTCAAAAATAGATAGGAACCGAACAGACATTTTAATTTTTTTACCAATGTATCAACGATTGATTATTTCTGTTCTTATGTCTGATATCTAAGCTCTTCACCCACTCCACACAAAGTCAAGGCAGGACAGAAACACATGTGTGTAGTCAGCAAAGATGCCAATTCCCCACCTGCCTTAGATTAGAGTCTGGGGATTCATTACACGCTGAGGCCAATGGACAAGAAGTTATCTTATACTTTGGTTCTGGTTGCACTGGAAGGTGCGTTGAGGATAACAAATTCAGAGTCATTTCAGTTCAGATTTACCAGGTGAGAACTGTCATAGTAACTGCTTTGTGTCAAAACTTGCCACATTACAAATATATTAAAACAAATATATTAAAACGTTTACTTTATCATCCCACCTGTTTTGTGCTGTAGCGCTCCAGCAGATCGTTGCTGATGAAGGCCTGAAGCATGGTGTCTCTTTGCTCACCAGGCAGAGAGCGAGTCAGTCTCTGAGAAAAGACGTGAGAAACAGAGCCAGCAATGAAGTCTCAAAGGAGTGAGTGAATATGAGTGACGCTCACAAACTGCTATACTAATGAGCTGCGTCAAAGTAAAATCTTAGTGTGAATGGTAAAAGTTAAGATTTAAAAACCTTTTATTAAATCTCCATACTATACACTTTTAAGTACAGAACACTAGCCTTTCTGTAAAGTGTGATTATGGTAGATTATTATTACTCACCCAGCGCAGCGCCTGAAGCAGCAGAGCCCTGAGCCTGTCGGTGCCTTCAACCAGGTCTTTCTTTAACTTTTCATAGTCCAGTGAGGGCAGCATTGGCACCTCTTTGGGTCTCCTTTAAAAAAAAACACCAAAGTCAGCAAGTTTATTATGTAACTTATAAACTTATAACAGAAAAAACATTCATATTCAAGACTTACTGTGGTGCAATGGAAGCTCGAAGCAACGAGGAGGCCTATAAAAGAGAGGAAGATTAAGAAAGATGTCGGAGAGGAAGAGTATATGTTAGAATTTGACCACATCGTTATTTATTTAAGTGTGGAATACATAACCCATGCGACTGCTCATCTGTTTCATAATTTGGACTAAATGGTCCCCCAACCAACTCAGTGTTATCCATCCAAAACAATGAGAAAAAGTTAGCTACTGTCTAAAAAAGTAATGAGTATTTTTTTGGGACATGCGTACATCATGCTCGAGGTACATGCTGAATCCGCAACTATACAAGAACAGTACCGTTTGGCAACATTGCCCATGCAGTCAGTAACAAGTAGGATCACATAAGTCAGTAATTGTTAAGTTCCACAGAGGGCAGGTTAGTGTGAAACAGCCAGACCTTCACGTGTTACACCCCAGTGTACCTGAACTGTGGCCCTGTTTGTTATTGTTTTTAGAGAAAAGAAAATGGACACCTCTGAACTAAATACTAATATGGCCATTGGGTGTTGGTGAATGTGTGTAGAGGAAGGGTGAGGGATCTAATTATTAGTGGGGGTTTTTTACTATTGAAAGGGAATTCTGAGCCCTGAAATCCAATCTGAAGCCCGGGTGGTTAAGCCTACAGCAGAGCAGTGTAAGGTCAGGGGAGTGATCCGTGTGGTCTGTAGTATCGGGTGGGCTGCCCACATTTTTGCTTTGGTGTGCAGCAGGTAATACGGAAGTGGGGGAAAGCACCAATACCTGGATTCATTCCCAAATTCTTTCTTTGTAAACACTTCAGTTGCCCTGAAAAATGCTGAGGGGCAAGGGGAAAGGTTTCCCTGAGACATTTGACCCTTCCCTTGACCCAAGGTGGCCTGATAAAGAGATGTATATACAAAACATTTTGAACCAGTTCTATTCATTTCTTTCCAACAGGAAAGCCATACACCTATAATGAACGTACACATAGTGGGGTCAAACTACATTATTAGAGGCAGAAGGAAAACTATAACAAGGCATTTCTAAATGTTCCTTATAAATCTTAAAGGCCTCGTGTATTGACACATTTCAGCCAATCATCTACCCAGAGCAAAGACTTGACCTGAATTCTCTGTCGAAGCTGAGTTTAAATAAGAGATAGCATTTCTATCTATTGTTGAAGTTATTGTCAGAGTAGATGGTGCTGCTCCCTGATCTAAACCTGTACCATTGTACCAAATGGTAAGGAGAGTAAACTGAAACTGACAGCATTTACTTTTGAGAGAGAGTTTAGAGGAGGAACAATGACTGCGACCTATGAGAACAAATTCATTTAATGATGAGGGTCCGCCCTGAGAGACGCTCTTGTTTGGCTTAACAAGGGCTCTGACAAAAGAGGCCATTCTTACAGAAAACAAGGCTGAATATCCCTTTAAACTGGGGACAATCTAATAGGAACCAGAGGGAAATGGCACTGCATATAGACAGATGAAATGGAGTATACCTATAGTGAGGGAAGAGGAGGCAGACACAAGGAGAAGGAGGGAAGGAGGAAAGGAGACAAGGCAAGGTGCAAGCAGGATGATAGGTAGGGACCTGAAAGATGGAGGAGGTAAAGATGAAAACATATGAAACTTACATATCCGTCATCATAGGGACTCATAGAGTAATATCCCTTTGAGGACAAAAGTATCACACACACACACACACACACACACACACACACACACACACACACACACACACACACACACACACACACACACACACACACACACACACACACACACACACACACACACACACACACACACACACACACACCACACACACACACACCACACACACCACACACACACACACACACACACACACACACACACACACACCACACACACACACACACACACACACACACACACACACACACACACACACACACACACAGAAAGAAGTGGTTCAGTTTAAAACAGAAAGAAACAAGATTTCACAAACTACAGTTTAACACCACAATGAAGGCCACTGACAGCAAGCGTGATTGTTGAGGTTTTATGATCAGCTGTGTCCTTGACTCACACTTTAACAGATACAAAACCATGGCGACAAAGCCAAGACATAGCTATTTGATGTTTAATATGAATATTTTGTATTTTGTTCAAACTGCTTCATGCAGCTAAACATAATTTTAACCATTATAATCAAAGTAACATTTCAATTGGTTAATAATCTTTGGACTTTGTGAGCTTTTCTACAAGCCTTCCAAGCCTGTGTGTGTTAATGCAACAGCAGGATCCAGGCACCTATTTCCAGGATACTAACTACAGGATTACAAGATGGCTTTAACCAGGCTACACAATGTACAGGATGTAGAGGACGTGTGGACAAGTTAATGCAGATTAACCCTCCTATCCTTTTCAAACACAACGTCATCGTTACCTCTACCTGTGTGACGTACGGCCCCGAGATCACTTTCCTACACTTGTTTAAAAGTTTGAGACGCTTTACATTTTCCATGCTTATACCTGATGTATTGTGTTTTGTTATTCAGCTGTGAAGGAGAATGAGGGTGAAGAGAGGTGTGTGTGTGTGTGCTCTCACTCACAGTGCCAGGTCTGGTGAAGTCAGTGCTCTGCACCACGCTCTGCCTCATCTGGCTGCTGAACAGGCGGACACACACACTCTGCAGGTACTCAGGGGAGATCTGCAAAAACACAGCAGGCCCCTTTAAGATGCTGTACGTGGGTGGAGGGAGGGCAGGGATGCCATTTTGGTGTCCCTGTTTAATAGCCTTGTCTAATAGTGAGGTGCATGTGTGTATTCATTAATATGCATATTCAATTTGTAAAAATGTTTCATATTCAAGTGTTTGCTTATACCACATCAACAACAACAACCTTTTAGTGTCCAGTATTTGTGTGTGCACACCACTAATTGGCTCATTTGTGTCAGTGTGTGTGCCAGTCTATGTAGTTAGTGCCTGTAGCCCGTGTGTTAGAATGTGTGTATGTGTCTGTGTGCTCCACAGTCAAGCAGACCTACCATTTTTCCGCTGACAGTGGCCTCCAACGAGTCGACCAGCTCAGCCGTGATTCCAATCAGGTTGTGGTAGTCGGCCTGCATCTTGTTGAACTTCCGTACGTAGCTATTTATGCGTCTGTCTGATTCCACCAGCTGGAGCTGTAACTGCTGTATGGCCTCTGTGCATTCACACAAACACACAGACAAAGGTTGCCATATAGATACAAATAATAATTAACAGCATTCATATCACATGCAACCTTCTTTGTGTAAATGATGGTTAACACGTTTTGTTTTTTTGTTAATCTTTGGCAAAGCCTCGCATCTCTTATGGCACTTTGAATTGCTGTGGACTGTCAATTACGCACAAGTAATGATGAGTTTTACGACAGAAAGTTCAAATATTATGATGTTTGTGCCAGGGAAAGAGTTTGGAAATCCTTATCTTGAATATTTGACCGCCACTGTTAAATAATAGGCTGTTGTGGTCTAAAGATTTCAAGGTATGGGAAGCTTTTTGTTGTTAATTAAATCATTGAGTGACTGGCGTTGACAAAATAAGTTGTTGTTTAGGCAGTCTGCAGTTAATATTTGTGTTACCACATTGCAAAAGAAGCTAGAGAGGGATATTTACCTTTAGTGCTCCTTCCTCCCTCCTTCTGCATGACGCTTGTTAAAGAACACGCACTAGCATTCAATGGAACAAGTCAAACAATTCTATGTATTTGTTTCGTCATCCAATGATAAATACAGACAAGGGATTGTGTTAATTGCACTTTGGAGCTTCAATTTGACTTGACACATAACAAACAGTCTGTTTTACATACTGTTTGAAGCACACATTTTTATGAAAGCAAACATTTACACAGGACTGGAAGATAATTGTGTCTGTAATTAAGATGAACGCCTATAATTCAGAGCATTTAGAAGCACGTAAGGATGTGAACGTGTCCTGGAATAGTTGGAACTCCACTAACAGAACCTTTTCATTTGTGAGTGTGCTGTGACAGCTGCTGTATTTGCATATTACAATATTAGCTTATGTAACCCTGCTCCTTTATGCTTAATTTTTGTACAAATAGATAGTATTTCTTTGGTCAGCCCTTGAGAGGATGCTCACTATGTTAATCTGTGTACTTTGATTGTCAGCCAGTAGGGATAGGGTTTAGTTTCATGTTGAGGGAGGAAAGTCGAGCCACTGGGTTTCCAGTTCAAGCAACAACTCGTGTTATCCTTCACTTGCCCTTCTACCCTGAATGACTTTGGATGAGTTAGTGTTGGATTACGGTCTTCCAGACTGAAACACGGCCATAAATAAATGTAAATCAGACAGGATTTGCTTACATGATAGGAAATGTCCAAGTCTGGGTTATGACTATTAATGAATTCTCAAGTCACCAACAGAAAGGCTTTTTGCTGAGATTTAAATGTGCAGCTCATCCAGAAGAGGAACCACTGGCCATTCAGTAGGATAACACTGGTATATATCAAATGTAATGGCCAAGTAACAAGTTGAGCACAAACATAAAACTTATTTTATTAACAACTATTTAGCTGTGGTGAAATGAATGCAACTTGTAAAACAGAAAGGCACAGCACACACATTTAAATTAAAATATAATATCATCTATTGTTCATAAATATACAATATGTCACCCCTCTGTGCTGTACATGTGGCATGTGAGTGAGTCTCAATAAAGGATACATATAAATTCAGCAGCCGTGGGGTGTTGGATGACTTCAGTGTCACCGACAGAAACCGCTCCAGCTTATCTTTCAACTGTGGTATCCAGGAATCCTAAATAAACAGAATGTAGAATGGAAGAAAATATGGTTATGCTCATTCTGAAAGTAGCACCAGGTAGTAATGTTGCATAATATATAATAAGTTGTTGACAATAACCAAAAATATAGTGTTAGCTGATCACCTGGAAAAGATTTTTGAAGGAGGGATGGACAGTGGGGTTTGGAACAAAAGGCAAAGCATAGTAAGGCAGGAACTCTGCGGTCTGGCTCAATGACGCTCCGCGAGTCTCCAGGTACTGCTTAAAGTGGGAAATCCTCTCCTCAAAATCAGCCCGGTCCTGAAGAATGAGTAAGGTTTTCAAAGGAGTAGATTTATTTCAAAATGTCTGTTTAGCTTACAACATAATTTAAAACATCTGTAATATACATAATATTTTTCCAATTAGATCATTCTGTTTATTTCCCTGCTGAGAACAAGACTGTAGCACAGCTTAGTGGACATTTAGAAAAATTTCATATCATGATATTCAATGATAGTTGTGTTTTGCTTGCGGATAATCTTAAGAAAAGTAATGCTCTTGTTTAAATTAAATGTATTTAACAATTAAAAACAACATACATGTCTACCAGGGTGCCTCCTCAGTGGGAAGATGGTGAAGTGGATGTAGAGGTAGAACTCCAGGCTCTGGGCCTCAGCATCCGTGTCTTTAACCTCAGAGGGAATATTCTCAGTCCACAGTTCAAAGAACACTTTGTGGTCTCCGTCGTCAAAACAGCCAAGGAGGTCTTTCTAGAAAAGTCAAAGTTAAAGAGGAGTTGGTTGGAGAAATAGTAATAACTCTAGAAGGATGTAATCTACAATTTTTTCTGAAATGTTATAATGATAATGTATATATGATAATATGACCAAGAATTTTGGAAAACCCAACAATATTTAGAGATAAAATCAATACAAAAAAGCTTAATGCTAGGGATAAATCGCAGCACATCCCTTATTGCCACTATCACAAATGATTAACAAACCTGCAGGAATAGATCATAATACTTGTATGATTTACCTGGATAACACGAGTCTTTGAGTCTCTGAGAGTACTTCCTTGAGGCTTTGAGACGAGCTTGCCTTTGCTTTTGCAGTCCTTTTCCAAACTGTGAACAGTCTCTTCAAATTCCTCAAACTTAAGGTACTACAAAAGACAAAAAAACAAGCATAGTGGTTTCAAATCTACCTTAACCAGAACACAATGGAGTCATCCAAATTACAAAAACTTAAAAACTCTTGTTTTGACATTGTAATTGACTTGTAGTGATGCTCATGCTGTTTGGCGTATTGCTCTGTCTGCATTCACAAAAATGTAAATGTGTTACCTCCTTGATCATCCCAAGAAGATCGGCTTCAGTTGCCAAGATGTCCCCCATCTTGGCTGCCTCCCTGGAACTCATGTGAGTGCCCCAAAACTTCAAAACACCTACTGTGAGAAAATAAGTCTGTTTTCAATAAACAACATTTGTACCAATTCTGCAGATCCAAAAGCACCGTACAGGACATTATAATTAGGCAAATGTGTGTAGCACCAAAATAACAAGCAGGCAACAAAGGGCTGTCAAATAACTATAGTGCAATTTTTGTTTCAGAGTATTATTGTTTTTAGAGAATTCAGCTAAAGCGATATACATGCTTTTTTGTTATAGTAGGCCTACTATTCTTAGACACAAATAAAATGGACATCCATTTTTTACTGGATGTATACAGCTTTTAAAACAACACCGTTAACAGAACATCCTATTTGTTCTGCCATTGTAAGCAAACGTGTGGCAAGCTAACGTTACTAGCTGACAAGCTAACGTCATCTGACGGTAAAAGACAAGGCATCGTTCTCACCCTTTCACATATGCATTTGGTAAATAGAGGTTTATATCGTTTCAGCGTGCTCATCCGGAACTGGAACTTATATGATCCATTTTCGACACGGCATATGTTTACCCTGCTTTTAGCCAGCTAGCCATTAGCTAGCAACCGTACACAGATAGGACGCTAATACACCTAGCAACCAAACACTTAGGAAATGCAAGCTGGAAAGTAGAGGCAGATGTCGTGAATCGTGCTTTATTTAGCAAAACAACGTGTAGAGCACAATGTGTTTTAAACATTAAAGCAACTATACACAGATAGTTACGACATTGAGTTTTTAAATAATGTATTCAAGTTTTTTTGGGATTGACAGTAAAAAAATAAAGTCATGTTTGCATTTTCAACCGGAAGCAGTTTGCGTGTCAGAGGTTGAGCACATTGTTTCTCCCATGGCGGTACAATCTGTCTCACACTGAAGCGTACATTAATTAAGTTTTACCGCTATAATATATATAGGGCACAATTTAAACAGACATCACTGCAGAACAATAGCGAGTGAGACTTTTCTGTGAGAAAAATTGGTCAAGAACGTATTTGAGGTAAGCTTGGGGAAGTGGGTGTTCTACATGCTAAAGCTAACAGCTAGCCTGAATAGGAGACACTTATAAAGTAGTAGTCAGCTAACGTTATAGCAATACTTTAAATAACGCTAACTCAGGCACCAACGTTGTTGAATTATTATCGAGTGAGAGTTTGTAAGTAACCAACACATAATTGAACTTTACATGTCAAGCTACGGTTAACATTCATGTTTCTCAAGAAGCGTTATCTAGTTTGTTTTAAACTACGTCTTGGCATATTTTATTAGATTAAGACTAAAGAATATGTCTAATGTCAAGAAGGCAACTGGAAACACTCAACATTCTCAATCACTTTCAATATGTTTACAATTTCAGCATCTTCATTGTGACATAAATGATAGCAGAATCATAACGAGCAGCACAATACAATACCTTTAATCAAAAACACCTAACATAAACATGCATTTAAGACAGTTTTTACTGACCCAAAAATACGACCCTTTTCTGCTGTTTTCTTTACATTGTGTTTACTAGTTTACTTCTTCAGTCAGTCGTGTAACATAAGTCTGTAAACTTAAGTCTTATCCTTTGCTTGTTCTTTTTATCATGCTATATATTTGTGTTGATGTACATATGACAAGCCATACTATATTCATTTCCAAGAAAATGGCTTAGAAATATGATGACTTTTTGAAACATTCACATCGTTTGTTTTTGAATAATCACATTTCCCCCATTACTAACTAAAACATGGGCTCTATCAACGCAGACCAAAGCTATCAGTTATTTTCATTGAACATTTTCTTCCTCCAACAAAAGCTGGACTAATGGTACTTGTCTTTTTCCTTTCCAGGTTGGTAGACGAGGGTAAAGATGGCTGGAATTCTGTTTGAGGATATCTTCGATGTAAAGGACATTGACCCAGATGGCATGAAGTTTGACAGAGGTGTGTGACATCTCATTATGATTAAAAGTTGAAAAGGGTGGAGGGAATCACACACTATACACTACCATCATGTAATGGTCCAGGGCTCGACATTAAGGACTACACGATGGCCCGGGGCCATCTAGTATTTAGCTCGGGCAATGAAGCCTCACCTGCTGGTTGCCCGATCGGGCAATCTATTATGCCAGTATCATGCAGCTCGCGGATCCAGTAATGAGTGACCCGACAGTAAAACTAAACATATCTATAACTAGTTACGGTAGTTTAAGAGGTAATTAAAATAGCTACGTGTGATATTCTAACCTGAAGTGTGTGTTTTGTCCGCTCACCGCTGCAGGTGATTATGCAGAGCTGCGTGTCGACTCGTCAGCAGCAGCTGATCTCTCTCTCCCGTCAGATTAGACTTCACTCGCGTTTATGTCCATATCGATCAGATCCAGATAGTTCTAGCTAATGATATGACTACCTGCTTATTAAAAGACACCTAAACAATAAGTGTCGCTATGCAACTGGGTGAGGCCACAAAGTATAGCGCAGCATTATGCATTTGTTCACATGCCCACCGGAACCCCGAGGCATTACCAACAGATCAACGCACAATCAACCCACACAGGACATCTCTTTCTCCACATTAAGTGTGAGACATTATAATTGACTATTCTTGTCTGTCACATACTTTCTTGTCTGTCACATAAGTGGCGCAACTGAAGCGGTATTGGGCTAAAGGGAAATTATTTTGACCGGACATTTTGACCGAAGAGATTTAGATTTGCCGTCTAACGGGAACTCTGACGTCGCCATTTTGTGTGCTTGGCGGATGCGCTCGGCTCCTCTCGACTGCTGCTCGGGTCTGCTCGGTCAGCTTCCGGATGAGGAGGCATTCGTTCGACCAACTTACAGTAGATAACATTACAAAATGTTTTAACAGGGGCCATAATAGTGTAAATAACGTTTGTTTTGGCAGTTATAACTGAATGTAATGTTTTCTACTTTTTTACATCTGGGAAGGCATTTGCCTTCATCAGATGGAAAGTGTCTTGACCAACAACTTAAGTATTTCTTATAGCTATGCAGGGCATGCAAGCGAGCAAACACAAACAAGAACAAACAAACAAGTGAAATGAAGAATAAAATTGAAATTGTACAATACAATATTGTGGTGGTTCATCTTATAATTCAGTCTAGAGAACCAGACAGCATCTAAGACCTGCACAAATCTAAATGTTCTAGGGGGAGGCCCCCCAAACCCTTCATGCGTCATTACGTCCGCACGCATTTTCAGGGCAATCTCTATTGGGCTCAGGGCCATCTGTAAATTAGCTTAGATGGCCCACAGGGCCATCTCCCAAAATCCTTAATGTCATGCACTGTGGTCACTACTACTGTACTGGTACACCTTATTCTTCTATCTGTAAAATATTGAATGATCTTAAGTATTAAATGAAGTCTGGCATATTTTAAAGGTAAAGACCCAGATTTTTATTTTGTGGAAATTATTTACATTTTAGTTTGTTGTTGTTTTGCCTCTCTCCTTTTAGTTGTCTAGCTTTAATAATTTAACCTTCTAAAAGCGTTTAACTATATTACATTTGTGTTACTATTATTTATTTTCAATTAGTATATTTCACTTTTTTAAAGTACAAATGAACTTATCCAATGTCTACTTCTACCTGTTTTGTTCTACAGTATCTCGTCTACATTGTGAGAGTGAGTCTTTCAAGATGGACCTCATCTTGGATGTGAACATTCAAATCTATCCTGTGGATCTTGGTAAGAAGCAACCTCTTTGTTCATGTCTATATTAATTATAAGGTAAAGATAAGAAGTCTTTTGATTGTTGATGTTGTCTCACACAATCACATTCTAAACATATCTTGTATACAGTTTGCTCAGAACAATCAGTTATTTCCCCAACATTTTTACCTCCTAAATATATATAGAAATCCTTTTACTTTTAGACAAGGTGGTCACATAATTGTCTGGTTATCATCACTTGCACCTTTACTTTTACTTTTTTCCTTATATACTCTGGTGTACATGTGAGTAAGTAGCGCTACGCCAAACCGCTATATATTCCTCTTTAGTCAGTGTGTGAGGCTACACTTAGATTAAGGCGTAAAGCACCATGAATCATAATCCAGGGTGTCCCAAGTTTCCAATATATAAAACCTCTTTGTTTGCATGTGTTTATTTCTTTAAGGTGACAAGTTCCGACTGGTCATTGCCAGCACGTTATATGAAGATGGAACGCCAGACGACGGAGAGTACAATCCTCAGGATGACCGGCCTTCTAGGTAAGGCGTTTTCTCTTCAAACATTGATGACTGTAACTTAACCAACAAATGCTTCCTTGGTTCTTTCATGTTTTTAAGGATCTAACACCATTGCTGTGTAAATGTTTAGTGTGCCTGTTCCCTGTGATGTACAGCATGTTTTGATAAATGCTCTTATTTGACTTTGTTTACATTTCCAGGGCGGACCAGTTTGATTATGTGATGTATGGGAAGGTTTACAAGATTGAGGGTGATGAGACTTCAACAGAAGCAGCCACACGCCTGTAAGTAATATTACATGCTTTTTTGAAGTTAAAGGCGGGGTGGGTAATTTTGGAGAAACCAGTTAGAGTGCGCTAGAATTTGAAAATACACAGCCGGGAAAAATCTGCCACTTCCTCACAGAGCCCCTCCTCCAACACACACGAACGCGCACATGACCAATGAGGGCACGAGATAAGTTTGTGCACAGATGGAAGGCTGACAGGCAGGTAGGCCATCCAGTTATTTTAGCCGGGCCGGCTCAGATGATTGGTCGTGCTTTTTACGGGACTACGGCTTCCACAGATGAAGTTTCTTTATGGATTTTTTGTCAAAGCATTTGGATGTTAAGAGCATTCCATGAAATATAACAAAAAGTGTATCTCGAGCCGGTTTCTCAAACTTACCTACCCCACCTTTAAGCTTATAACTCATAAATATAAATGTTAATATGTTTACCTTTAAATAAACTGTTAGCATACTAACAAGTAGCTTTGCTATTGGTAAATCATTAGTGCAGCAATTTCTCATATATATATAAAGGACCACAGAAACTCTTTTTTTGAAAGAATTCTACATTTTTCAGCTTAGAAATATTATTTAGTTGTGAAAATATATTTGTATTATATGTCACTGATTAGAAGAATATACTTAAGTTGGATTTTAAGTGTATTATTATAACCACTATTCTTTTGCAAATGATCACCCAGCTGTGTATTGCATTGATCAAGATTATTTAGCTTGCCCAACAGAACTCTGTGTGTGATAGAGAGATAATGCGATGGTAATATTTTCTTATAATTTTTTGCAAACTTTAAATCTCATTTGTTGTTTTTAATCAAGTTCCATGTGCTCCTTCTCTCAGATCTGCCTATGTGTCGTACGGCGGCCTCCTCATGAGGCTGCAGGGAGACGCCAACAACCTTCACGGCTTCGAGGTGGACTCCCGGGTCTACCTCCTCATGAAGAAACTCGCCTTCTAACCCCCAGCTCTGCTCACTCAGTTGTTCCCAATGCCACAGGCAACTTTATAAGGAACTGCATACTGAAAACATTCATATTCTCAACCCTGGAGTATGCAAATATCATCCAAGCGCAGCTCACAGACACACATGGAGGCAACATATTTCGTTTTTTTACTCTTGTAGTTACAGAATGTTTCCTCCAAGGAGATGGACTACAAATTATTAACTGTGACACATACAAACTGCTGCAACCTGGTAAACTGTAAATAAAGATTTCTTTTATACTAATTGATTCTTGCATTGTCTGTCACCTTTTTCAAAATGACTATTTAAAAAAAATCTGTGAGTGAGTTTATTCTTGTTGTTTTCTTCCAACCAGAAAATACCCTTGCAACTGTTAAGTTGATCTTATAAATGTTTATTTGGTTTCATTTTGTTGCATTTTCACAAAAGATTTTAAAGTACTAAGTACTGTTGTTTTTTTATTTCACACGGCTTTGGGAACATTTTTACAACTGTACATTTTCAAATAACATTAAAGGTGAGCATAAATGAATGCATGGTTTCAAAAAGTCCAGTAAATCAAGTACTGACATGTCTGTTCATGTCATATGGAATAGCTTAGATTGACTACACACAAATTCGAGAAGTGACCTTTAAAACAACAGAGCCGTCTGTAACATGTCTTCTCAGCAACATAAGTAGAACATTTGAAGTTCAGATATTGAATAAATCTTTAGATAAGTATTTAGAAAATTAAATAATAGTTTTTCCCAGCTGCTAGCATGTCTTACGCAATGGTTCTATAGTTGCTTACATGGCAGCAAGCAAAAATGCTGATGCTCAGGAGAAAGAAGATTGAATTAAGGCTGAAGAAGAAGCTTTGTGTGTGACACAAGCTTCCCAATGACAGTGGTAATGGGTGTCACAGGACAGGAGGGAACACTGCCAGTGATTCATATATTCTTAATAATGTATGCATGGAAGGCAGACTTAGTACTGTTGTATATGCTTGTAGCCTTACAAAAGTACAGCAATGATGTACAATATTAAAGTAAAACATTGTATAAGTACCACAACATTTTATAGGGACAATCCGGTTGGACATATTCGATTTGAATTGTAAAATATATGTTTTTGAAAGCCAGCACCAGTACTTTAATACCGCAGCTGCCCAAATACTTAAAATAATTCAGGGTTTTTCCTCAGAATTCTCTTGTCGCGGTGTAAAAGTGTCTGAAACATTATTTTGTACTATAATATGTCCCAGATTTATTAAAGTATGTGCCTCTGACATGATGCTGTTGGTTATTTGCTCACCATGGGGAATGGTCAGAGTAAGTTATCAAACAACATTATCTTTCCACTGGTGTCAGCAGGTTTGATAAAACCCTAAATGAATATCATGTTCAGATTGTGACAATCGTGGTATAGTAACTGCAACTGTAATCTGCATTACATTGTAAAACAAGAGATAACATATGATTGCACATTTGAGCTATACTGGAGCAGGCTTGTATTCCCATGCTATGCTACCACAGATTGTATTTACTATTTTTACGATTTCATTATGACATCTTGTGTGTCTAATATTAATTAGGACTGTAGTTGGTCTGTTTTTGATTTACAAACAAATTAAAAGAAAGAACACAACACATTTTACCCAAGCTTATCCCAGTTTTCTTTTTTTCCTTTTAGAATGTGCCTTATAGCTGATTTAGATGTATTTGTACGGTGAACATTTGTTTTTAATAGGTTTTTTTTCCATATAGCCTACAAACACAATGACTTAAATATAGTCGCATTTTACCAACAGGATCAGGTGTCTACATAATCAATATCTAACAGAAAAACTTGGTAAAAACCACAGTGTCGAAATTGTATTATCACAAATACTAATCCATCTAAAAGCACCAATGAATCTGTGTGCGAATTAAACCGAAGCAGAGTGGGGCTTCCCTGCTTGGGACTGTTCCAAAGTGTACCTAGGTGAAACCACCGGAAGTGATGTAGTTTGGGCTAAACTGCGCAGGAGCATTGCACGGATGTTTGCTTCTCGTTTGCAAATCCCTGTTTGAACTGGCGCTTCAAGCATTACATACTCAGGGAACAGGCTCTTTGCACACTCACTTCAGAGTTATGTAGAACAACACGCACTCTGAAAAATGTTTTTCAAACTGTCCGGAGAAAGGCACAGAGACATGTACCCTCAGTCGGCTCTAATTGGAAGCACTGCACTCGGGATTATGTCAGTTTTGGTGTTTTGTAGACAGACTAGAATGGACATGTATCTTCAAGCATAACAATAATATTATAGCTGCCAAACACGATGGATTATCGACGGAAGAAGAAAGCTGACATTCTTCACCATTGGACTCATATTTCTACTTAGCGGTGTGGAATATGGTAAGATCTATTTTGTGTTGTTATTGTTTCTTTTGCCTGTGTTGCAACACTGACATTGACCATTTAAATGAATGGGAAAGTGGGACACTAAAATATTACAGTACAGTCAATCACTATGTAGTGTTCCCATAATCACCTAAATGATTGAGTATGAGGCTACTATTCATGTTCACTATGTTTTTTGGTGGAACATGGTGTACTGGAACTTATTGGTTTGGCATGTTGAGTGTGTGTATTTCTCCTATTGAGGTATTTGGACTCAACCATTATGTGATTTGATCAGGGAAAGGATACTTAGGCAAGGGTTTGAGTAGTCAGGAGTAATACAAAGGACTGTAGTGTATTAGTTACTTATTTAACTATTTCATTGTTTGGTAATTTGATTACATTTACCTTTGTCATATGTCTTACAGCTCACTGGCTGTGTTACTTAGAAACGTATTAATTAACTCAAAAATGTAATGAATAACAGTGATATCTGTTCAACCACCTGAATCAACCAGTCCATATTTTACTCAAATATGGGTGAGGTTGGCACAGAGGCCACCTTACAAGGACATTTACACATGCATACAAAAGAACAGCAAATTCAACCACACCCTTTAAAAACGTTCCAAGGAATTAAAGCACAGCTCTCTTGATAAGATTCAGAAAGATATTATTGAGTATATGACTGTTATCTTACAATGCAGTGAATTTGTTGTTGTTGTTGTTGTTGTTGTTGTTGTTGTCATAGTCACTTAAAGCTGTGTCAAAAGCAAGGCTCAATTAGTTTTATCACTTTTGCATGGTCACAGATGCCAAGTCAATTTAAGCAACCATTTCTGTTTTTTCCAGAAAGCACACCATGTGTCTTCTGTTCTGACCTAAGAATGAAATTAGGACTGTATTTGGTAAGCACTATTCTCTGTCTAGATGATTAATGATTATGCTTGAGGTATTGACAGGGAGAAATTGTTACCACTGCTTGCTCTCTTGGCATTACTATCACTGATATGAAAAATATTTAAAGTTCACCTCTCCAACTCCTCTGATAAATATCTCCATAGGGCTCATGGAAGTCACAGGTTTGCAATAAACATTGTTAAGATGCCTCTTAAATGCATCCCAACAGAGCTACAGTGTGCTCATTTAAATCCTCATATACCTAATTATGACTCAGCAACACTGAGTTAGGTAGTTTAAGTAAACAATGTTCACTTTCCATGTGTTAACTTTGACATTTAGTTTTTTATTCAAACACTGTAACTTCAAAAGAAAGTGTATATTAGATGAAAACTGTTCCTTCTGTCTCCCCAGCTGTAATACTGCCCACGATATGGAGGTACTTGCAGACTTTAGAAGCAGCACCTTACTACCTGGGTTTGGCGCTGTCAGCATTCAGCTTGACCGGCCTCCTCACAGGACCGTTGTTTGGCTACTGGTCCGACAAAACACGGACCACTAAGAAGATCATCTTGTTTGCCAATGTTTTTGAGATGATTGGTGAGTCCACTTATTTGATTGTATTTCCACCACTTCTACCTTGAAACAACAAACTTCATTCACTATTAGTTTTGTGGTATTAGTGTAAAGTGTATGACTCACTTCATTTTACTCCTCCTTTCTGCTCTCCAGGTAATTTTATGTACTTTATGGGATATTCCAAGTGGCTCTTACTGTCAAGCAGACTGGTGGCAGGTGAGTCTGCTCAAAGACACTGTGACTTATTATCCATTCCAGGTGTCAAGCTAGTAGAATAGACTTGTCAAACCAGAGTAGCTGAAAAGGTACATTATGTAAAGGTATACATTTGAGCCTGTACATACTATGATGCATCATCATTTTGTTTTTTTAACAGAGACTGTTCCTTATATTTTAAATGTGACACATGTTAACCTGAAAATGATTATCGGTAATATCGTGTGGTTGACCATCTAAAAATATCCCAAAGCTTAAAAAATATTTGTTTATTTAAATGGGGTTTAGAGGGTGATATATATAAATAATGGTAATATTATTGTAGTTTTTTGAAGATAATAAGACGTGATGCAACAAACAATGTATGTCCAGAGCTCCAGATTTAACCTCAATTTCTTGAAAATCACCCGTAACTGATGAATTTTCCTCAGGTATCGGAACAGGTGCTGGCTCAGCTATCTTTGGCTTACTGACCAGAAGCACCGCCCCAGAGGACCGCGCCACTGCTTTTGCTGCAGTCATGGCATGTCGACAAGCTGGCCTTCTGATTGGTCAGTGCTCCACTGCTTTCTGGTGGCATATTCATTTAGCCAGTAACAGTGCAGTATTATTTTATTGGCTTAAGAATGTATGCAACATAAAAAAGCATGTTTATAAATGGCACTATAGGCCGCCAGTCATAGAAGAGTTTAATGTGGTACAAATATTGAAGTAGGCCGGTGATCCCTGCTCCTTATAAAGGGTCCCTAGGCCTGAAAATCAGTGAAGACTCATGTTTTTCTAATGTTTGGGTGTGTACACCAAGGCAAATTCCTTGTATGTCTAAACCTACTTGGCAATAAACCTGTTTCTGAGATCTGATTCTGACATGATGCATGTTTAACCTTGTGTTTGACAGGTCCAGCATTTAACATCTTCCTGAGGTTGTGTGATTTCCAACTGGGTCCTTTTGTTGTCAATAAATATACCGCGCCAGGGGTAAGGGTCCACAATAAGCTATAACTTTGCACCCCTCAAAGAGAAGTTGTAATGCTCTTCTTCCACCTTCTGCAGCTGTTCATGTGTCTGCTGTGGACTCTCATTCAACTGGCGGTGATCTTCATGTACTGGGACCTACCTCCTCTGGAGAAAGAGAAGGCCAAAGACAGATTAAGAGGCCAGAGCAAGGACGAGGAGGACGAGCAAGGGCTTGTGGAAGAGGACAATGATGAGGAAAAGCCGCTAATGGGGTCCCAGGAGATAGGGGGGTCCTACGGCTCAGTGGTGGTGTCCAACACAACCATGTCAGACCCTTCTGCTACCTCAAATGCTACGCTGAATCCCATCTCTCCACCTCTCTCTCCAGAGCCACCAGAGACCCATGAGTCTTCCAGCCCCTCTAAGACCTCTAGCATATCTCGAGGTGGGTGACTGACAGTGTGTCTTTCTCTCAGGGGTTCTTAAAAAGCTGGAAGACACATTCTCTAAATGTAATGTCTTTCTCCCTTTCTGTAGAGTTCCTGAGAGAAGAGGTGGCTGTGCTGCTGGCTGCTCAGTTCATCACTCTCTTCAATCAGACAGCACTGGAGGTAGAGTAAAGATATACAGACTGTAACACTCACATATATATTAAATGATTGAACAAAAAAGTTATCTTTATGTTCCTTACAGTAGGGATCACTTAACTAAAACTAGTGGAGTATCTGTGAAGCCAGGAGTTGGCAGACGTTTTTATTCGGCAAGAGAAAACTGGACGAAATACCCTTTTTATATGGGGATTTATGCACTGTGCAAACGTCTCGATGTAAGGGAAACTTCTGTGTAGCAATGCAGTGGGAGTCACCGACTCAGGAAGGAGACACGGTGGAGCAGGAGCTTTTGATGTCAAACACTGGAGGTTTATTTGGAGTTACGGCCGGAGAGTTCACATCACAAATCACAGCAGTCACGGTGAGACTGCACGGGTGGGTTGCCACGTCAATTCTGGAGCGCCTCTCTCTTGCTAGCCCATTTAACTGGTTTCACAGAGAGTAATCAACATATTTTGATAAGATAGCTTTAGACAGTTGGGCACACTGAATTATCTGCTTCCGCCACTTATGGCCTCGAATATGTCATACCCTGGAGTCCATAAGCAATAAAGAAGGAAGTGTCCCAGTGCACCCACAACAAAGACCATCTGTGACCTAGTGTTGACCGGTCACAGAATGGGAACAATAACATTATGGCTGAAGCAGCCTATGTCCTTAAAGGAGATAAACAGACGTCAGGGTTGGTCCTGTACGTCATATCTAGGAGTCTAGGACAACTATTTCCCTAACACTCGATACATTTATTTCTCAGACCATGGTGACCCCGATGACCCAGAAGTACTTTGGCTACAGTGAGCTGGAGAACAGCGTGATGTACAGCCTCTGCGGGGTGGAGGTGATCGCTGGCTTCCTGTTTGTGCGCTGGCTGAGCCAGCGTGTTACTGAGCGAGTTATCCTTGCCATCGGACTGACGATCTGCAACATCTCCGGTGTCTGGTGCTTAATCTTCCTGGCAAACCCACTAGGTCAGAATGCATTGGAAAAACAGCTTACTATTACATCATTTTGTACACACAGGTCAACTAGAACTGATGCTGCCACAAAATCCTGATCCCCCACCAACATTTTGTTTAATACTCCATGTTTTACTGATCTGGCCTGTTTAATAAAGAAGGTTTACATATTTATATGAATCATTTGTTATATTCAAAACATTCTCACAATTGGTAACTCAGTCATATCCAACAGATCTAAATTATATTACACAATCAAACATTTTAAATCATCATGATGCCTATTCACTCAGTGTTTTTTTTCTTCTTCTATTTCACTTTTTTCTGAAGGTGGTTTCCAATGGAAGCTGACTGAATTCGTCATTGGAGTGTTTCTGCAGGTTTTGGGTTTGCCATTTGTAGCTGTGGCTCAGGTTTCCCTCTTTTCCAAAGTCACTTCTGAGAAAACACAAGGTGAGAAACTGCATCATCTAGTGGAACATAAACAGCATTGCATATTGGAATATACGTTCTACACCTTTCATTGTTTGGTGGGTCGATGTAATAGACTAGTGTTGATTCTCTGTGTCTCGCTTGTATTGCAGGTTTCAGTCAAGGCGTGCGCCGCTCAGTGGGGGGTCTAGCTACCATCCTGGGTCCTCTGTGGGCTGGGGGCCTCACAGACAACATGTATATCATGATGGGGGTGATGATGGGACTGCTGGCACTGGTTACGGTATGTCAAAAGAAACTCAAAGATGTAGTATGTGGTTGTCGGATGGACATTATGGCTGCATTGTATGGATTTTAAAGGTCCCATGACATGGCCATTTCTACTGATCATAATTCCATTGTTAAGGTCTATTAGAAATGATTTACATTGTGCAATTTTCCAAACTCACATTGGTTTTTCATATAGCATCTCTGTATAGTATGTGTATTCACTCTCTGTCCTAAATGGCTTGTTGGAGCTGATTTTCTTCAGAATGATGAGATTTAGGCCCAATTACTGCCGACCCCTACACCCTACCCCTTCACACTACCACTCTGTTTGCGCAGAGGGTCCCCCACATTACGTTTTTCCATTCCAATCCAACAAGTGGGGAGAGGGAGTGGGTTATCAAGCCCTTCACCAGCGTGTCTGCATCGGTCCTGACTCAACCACCTGCACTACCTGCTGGTTACAAACAGTTCTGTGCAAACATTAACTAGTAAACTAGACATTTCATATCGTCATACATTAGCATCTTCATGGTTGCCTCGTATTTGTATGACTTAGGATCTACCTGTGTCTTGAAAACTGTAAACATGTAAATTTGATTGTAAAGTTTTGTATATTTACAGGGACTGTTGCAAAAACCAAGCAGCTTATAAACATCAGATAAAAAAAAGAAAGATGTTTACAAAAAAATAAACGGCATTAAATGTTTTTGGAGTTTTATTTCAGTTATTTTTTTAACACATTTTTGTCCAAGAAATACTGATTTGCAACCGTTGTAACGGAAGGTTACGGATGTTCCTGTTTCTGCCGGAGATAGGGGAGTTTGTCTCAAAGCTTGCCTCTGTATTTTCACCCTGCACCTTGAAGAGCCTCGTTTAGCTGTGAGTGTCACTACAAATGGAGTTCACTAATACTTCATGTGCATAAGACACAGCACTTGCAATGGTTAAAAAGATTTGTGTAAATGTGAGTCTCATTTCTGTTGAAGGAAATAATTGCGCAGAGGGTGTCTTTTGCATTGAGAATACAATTAGAATAGATCAGAAACAAACAAACCACAGAGAAAATGTTTTACAGTTAGGAACAGGAGATGTGAGTTGACATCTTATAGCCAGCAGCTCCTCTTCTGTTCAGGAACAAAATGCTTGTAATGCCTGTTAGGAAGTGTGGGCGAACCACGGCCCAACAACAAAATGTTCCACTATCCTTAAGAAAGAACAAAATAAAACCTGAATATGAGTCTGTTTGAATCTAACTTTCACTTTACATTTGGTTTAACAGGAAGCTTCTTTGATAGCCTCATTTTTTCTGTCCTTCATTATTTTTCATTGTGAAGGACAGGCTATTTCTTGTCTGATGGCTCTGAAGCAGGGTTTCTGGGTTTCTTCCAATCAGTCAATTTTCAGGATTCACTTTGCAACTGAGTGGAGAAAAGTGCTTTGTGCCAACATCAATTATTTGCTCAGGATTCAGGCTTTTTGATGTTTATTCTAATGTATTTTGTCAGATGCATAAGGAAATCCTTTTTGAGGAAACCATAACATTTGTATTTCTCATTGGATGTTATTACTGAGAGAGAGATCTAAAAGAAAGAAGGAAATCTAACAATTGCTTTGCTTCCTTGCTGTACATGTTCTTCCTTTTGTCTTTTTTGTTTTAAATCAAATATATTATAATAAAATATTTTTTTCTGTACAGATTATGCTGGCTTTCTCATACGACCGGATGCTTGCACCTGCTGTGGAGGAGCAAGTGGATGACTCGGACAACGTTGGCTAAACCAGCAGAAAGCAGATGGGATGAACGTGGATATAAAAGGTAGCTTTTAATACATTTTATGAAAAGAGACATTGCATTACATATATTTATCCAAATTGACTTACAATGAGAATTGAATGGTATTAATGTAAGACCATTTTCGTTCTTGAATGCATACATAATATAAGTAGCTATAACGATAAATTGATCTATGTTATTGTTTTGCAATGTGTACTTCACTCTTATCAGATAGCAGCCTTGTCTACCACCTTACTGCCCCTCACCCTTTTTTTCCTTTCTGCCTGTGTACAGTGGGAGATTCCCTGTCCTGCACTTAACAGTCCATCCAATGTTTCACTTTCTGCACTGGGACCAGCAAGCAGGGTGACGAGACACACACACACACACACACACACTCTCTCTCCTCTCTCTCTCTATCTGCTATCTTCTCTCTCTCTCTCTCTCCTGTGTTCACTCTCTCTCTCTCTCTCTCTCTCTCTCTCACACACACACACCTCTCATCACCTCCTGAGGGTTAACCTAACACTTGGACTTTGAGTGCAGAGGCTGATCAAAGCACTCATATGGTGCATGTATACATTTCCCATGGAAATATGGAGTCCTGCTGACACAGTGTGTGCAAGCTTTGGATTAATGGTTGCCGTCCGGTTTTTTCTTCTGCACTGAGTACCATCTCTCACATTCTGATATCAATGAACATGCCAAATCGTAAGCTGATGTAGCTGTCCATGAGCTGTAGGAGTGTAAATGAGCTGTTTAGCCTTAACACTTGTTCTTTAACTTAATTAACCAGCTCCCTGAAGAGGTCAGGGTTGTTTTTGACGGTTAGAAAATCGGGCTTTATTGTAGTAAAATATTCAAAATTAAGACCAATACATTACTTTGCCCATAAACCCAAAGTATTTTAACCTTGATAAAATATTATTTGAATCCACTTCTTTAATCGCATTCATTCCATTTACATCTGATATAGGGAAGCTTTCTCCTTGAACAGCAAAATATTTAGAGAAACGATTATTTTTGTTTTAAATTTGTGTGCTTTTGGAAATTAATACTTTTATTCTTGCCTCTACTATTGAAGCAATATGTTTGGTCACTAAAATAACTACTAACACAAAATATTAAATAAATATATTTAAACGGTTTTTCATGCCATGGTGATAGAAATGCTGTTTCAATGGTATTTCAGAATCAGAAATCTTTATTTGAAACATTACTTTAAATACCAGTAATACACGTTCTAAGGGAAACACTAAATACTATGGAGGTCTGCCAAACCCTGATTGAAGGTTGTTAATTCAAGATCTAATATTCCTGCTGTGATGGCGAATAAAGGATAACATACATTTCCTACTTTGAAAAAACAGAGCAGTACTATTGTGTAACACTAGTGGGAGCTCTTAGTCTACTGAAGTATATCCCTGTTGTTACTGCTGAGCGTTATGATCGAAGTGTTAGAAAAACAGCATTTCACGGTTTTAGGTGGCAGTACAGAAAACAGACACTAATAAATCAAATAATATTAAGGCTTTACATTTTGTGGTGTACCTCTTTATAATTTGTTCAGGTTTTTTTTTTACACAAACAACTTGAATGAATTATGAGACTGTTTATTTAATATGCATCTATTTATTAGATATTTTATGAGCCCCTACATGAACAACTTTTTTTATGTGTTACTTATGTTACAAGTAAAATAAATATTCACTATACTATATTGCCTTGTGTTTTGTTATTCTCTAGAGTGAAATGAGTGCATGTGTAGAGTAAAATACGTTTTTAAAATATAATAATAATTTCATCAAACATTAAAACAATTGTTTAACATGAATTCTTAATTGTATGGCTTTTTTGGTTGACAGTTACATATCATCAAAAATAAAGGCCTATAGATATATAGACAACATATATAAAACAGAAGAACAATTTAGGATGTAAGCCATTTTCTTAAAGTGGGATTTAAAAAATAAAGTTTTGTTTTTGTAGTCTTTTTTTAAAGGATACAAATGTTTTTATTGTAAAAATGAATAACTTAATATTTTTTTAAATATGTAATGACACTTTCATCGGGGTTAGTAGAGAGCTTACACCTGCAGTCAAAAAATCAACATATTTTGTTTTGAATGACTAATTTTAATTATTTGTATTATTAAAAGGAACAAATATTGACAATGAAAATTATATTATATTAAAATAAAAATAATACCCGTCTCAAATTTGATATAAAACAAAGACAACTAAAGTCGTAATAGTAGGGTAATGTCACATATCTTCTTAATACATGAAATTGCATGTAAAACTATATTTAATTTCAATTGAGTAGAATCATAGAATCATTTTATATAGAAAAGATAAAAGTCATTAAATATGATCACTGTGTAAATAAATACAAGACTATAAATTAACTGTGTACTTAAAATAAAATAATACAAATATTCTAAAAACGAAATGATGTTTACCTTTTATTTATTTTGTCTTCATAATGAATCAAGGATACAGAATTAATTACACATTTTTAAATGTTTTCAAATTCATTTTAAATTCAGAATTGCAAATCACACATTTTTGTGAATTGTTATTTATAAATGGCATGCTGCATTATCTATTGAAAATGAATTATTGGAAATTGTATTTAACTTTTTGGAAATTATAAATAATAAATGATCATAAAATATGAGATTCAAATTTAGAAAAAAACCGAATTGTTGATAAAAAAAAAAAGAAGGAATTTAGTATCATAGACGTTCTTAGTTTTCAGATGATTTTAGACCACAAACATGTTTAACAAAAGTGAAACCGAGCACATTTCTAAACCTGGAGTTGTTAACACAGTGTGAAAAGGTGGGGACCCGGCCCCACTGGGGGTCGCTGCAGCCTCGCCGGCAGAGCCAGAAACTGGGAGAGTTGGGTTCTTTCTCACCTGTGACGTTGCGCCGTCTGTCTGCTGACGCCATGACGAGGGGGCGTGGCCTCGGACTTGAACTCTATGTGAACCTGTTTTGATGTTGGGCGGGGCGGGCTCAGAAATGTTACGACATAGAGATATTTTGGGGTTTCACAATTTGTTTTATTAAACTGGGCCCCCACCACCCACACCCATCACACACATACACACACAGCCTATAGCGGTAGTCTGACCGAACAACGACCCTGCCTATCAGGGTCAGAAGCGCAGAACACGTCGTGTGTCATATCAGCAGTGGTTGTCGGGGTAAGTTTGGTAAGCTCACTCCTCCTTCCCTGCCAAATGTTACGAGGCATATACAGCCAAATTCAAAGATGATAATAGACGTGAACTTTTGATGAACTGTGTTTTTCCGGCGAAAGAGGGCAGCGAGGGCAGCTGGAGTTCATTGGGTCTTAAACTTATTTTTCCCCCCCAATCTCATTCCCAGGCTTGATCACTGATTGACCCGCACAAACTGGGTTGGGTTAGTGTAAGGATGTGCTCGGATGATGCACTGTAACACTGGGGCTTGTTGAATATCGCAGATCAGCCGAACATACATATTTTACTCGTGGAAGTGTGGACAAAGCCACACTGCAGCATCACCACTTTTACCACTTTTTTTCTTGCACTTTACATGACATTCTCTCTGTTCAAGGGACAACTTAGAAGTTCAAGAATAACACCTCTAACTGGGTCATTATAAGACTTTCATGATGCTAGTTGTGATGGGTAATAAATGGATAGGTGTGCTCCCAAGCCTGAACTTTGAAGCTTTTGAGCTGCTGCGCGTATGAAATATTTAGTTTGTTCAATGGTGTCAGGGATTCTTCTTTTTGCGGAAAAACTGCTCGAGCCACAGCCAAATCAAAATGGTGGCATCGACAGAAACCTGTGAAAGTCTGTGAGTGTCCCTTTGTAGCAAGCACTTGAATCTTGTGTTAATAATACATGTGTCACTCCGAAGAGGTGCTACATCTGGAAAGCAAGATGGTTACGGGGATAAAGGGAAAAGAAGAGTGCTTAAGTTGGGATATAACGGGCGAAAATGGAGGCGCTGGGACAGGAAGTGTTCCATAACGAAAGGTAAAATACAATCTACTGTAAGAAATGGAAGTCAGACCTCCATTTCGGTCACCCAAGGCTGTGTGACACGCAGAGTATTTTTTTTCCGTGCCTCCTTTCGGGTTGTGTAATGCTTCTTTTTCTGTCTGGATGAATAATTAAGCAAAGCCTATGGCCGGGGCATCCTAGGCTGTGTTGCTCAGGCTAGCCAGCTGCTATTATAGCGTTCTGTTTTGCCAAATCTGGAATGCTTCAGTTATTTCCAGCACTGGAGGTTTCCTTGCACAAAGTTTTCTACATCTCTTTGATCTTAAAACATCATAAACTGGATTAGTTATTCTGATGGTCTTATTGAACCTTGACTTTTTGCTAGTTCTGTTACAAGTTTTGACCCTTGTGTTTAATTAGAGTAAAGCAGCACATGAGGGATTAAAGGAAACTTTAGTCACATTGGACACCTTTTCAAACTCTTTATATCGGCCGTTCTGTGAAAGGAATACTAATGTCTTGTCATTATAGCACTATTCTAATATCCTTAATGTCTGATGCATCTCAGTAAATCTTCAATTCCTCAGATAATACAAATAGTTTTGAAGATAGCTGTTCTAAAGTTATCAAATGGGTTTGAGTATTGGTGAATGGTGGAAAAATAAATGTTCAATGTTACAGCCAAACATACATTATATCTAGCAGTATTTAATTTGAGTTAAGAAACTAGCATTGAATTATTCCTGAAAAACAGGGTTTATCTCTTATTCAAAGTTAAACTATTCCTCTGCCGGCCTGCTTCCAGGAAATGTCTACTCATTAAACTCCAATCTCCCGATTTCATGACAGACCTCCTGTGTGTCTGCTTTAATTGTGTTCTCACAATTAAACACCCGGCATCACCCACCCAAGCAGCCACGATGTGCCTCTAACCTCACCCGTCCCCTTTGCTCCACGAACACAGATTACTAGCCCATCTGTATCACCAGAGGCCACGCTAAGCCGATGGGAGCCCTGCTCAGCAAGGCACCGCCGCAATTGTTAACCCTGATTAACTTGATGTGGCGTTCAGTAGTGGGAACAGTGTGAAAATCAAGCCAGTGCCGTGACCCAGTGCCCTGCCGCTGAACCGAGAGGGAATCGGGCAAACCTGGGGAGGGTGGAGGAGAACGGGAGCCAGGAAAAAAGAAAGAAGGAAGGAAAACAGAGAGATGGCCGAGAGATTAACGCAGCATTAAGGACTGCAGAGGAGGAACAGATATATGCACATACATATATTTCTCTGTTTCAGTGCAGTAGAAGCTTGGTGTCACTTCAATATAGACTCCAGCAATAAAACATAAATCAATATGACTTTCAGTGCCCCGACAATGGGCTTCTGTGGAACAGAGGACATCAAC